TGTTGCACCCACCTGTGCAAGCCAATTCTCATGCATCCCATTCTCTGCCTGTTTATCCTCAAGCTCCTTGCCCTATCAAATATCTTTCCTGTCTCTAAGCTCTCTCTCTACTGGCTTTTCCATTCAATATAGAAATATGCTCCTCCTCTTCCATTAAAAACAGACACACAACCAAAACAAGGTCCTCCGGAACCCCACATTTCCTCCTAGCTGCTGCCACCACTGTCTTTCTTGTCACTGCTCAGCTTGCTGAAAGGCTGTCCCCTATTCAATGGCTTTGTGCAGGCACAGCTCACCAGGACTGCACCCACCACTCAAAATACCTCCAGTCCCCTGCCATCATTTCTTTGAAGTCATCCTTGTTAAGGTCATAGAGTCATTCATTCTACAAATATATATTGGGTCTCTCCTATGTAGCAGACACCCATTATCGTATTTGGATTATATAAATGCACAAAACAATGGCCTTTGCCCTCACAGAGCTTACATTGTACCAGGGAGACAGACTAGTAATTAATAAATACAATAAAACACTGAATTATACTGTATGTGATAGGTGGTTTACGTGCTTCATAAAGAAGAGAGAATATGTATGAGTACATTTGACCACATGGGTGCTTCCACTGAATAGGAGGGGAAAATCTGACTGATCGTGAACAGTAAAGCCTACAACGTCGTGGTCACCAACTTCACTCTACACTGCTCTGCATCCCTTCTATCTTCCCTTCTCCTGTTTTCCTCAGTCCAGTCTTTCACATTCTGGAATCTCCTATTCTATCAACCTCAAAAAAGGCAGAGTATGAGGAACTGGGAGGGAGCAAGCAGGGTGCAGTTTTAAATACAATGGTCAGGGTAAGCCTCATTGACCAGGTGTGCCGTGTATAGACACTTAAACCAGGTGAGAGGTTTCTCAGACAGACATCTGGACAGGGAAGAGCATTTCAGGAAGGTGGAACTGCAAGAGTAGGGCCCTAAGAGTGTCATAGCACAAAGACTGGTGACAATGACCTCCCAAATACAATAGACAGTCTGTTCTCCTGTTATGTGACCTCTCTGTTTACTGAGGCATCTTGCTCAGTCTTTCTTACCTGGGCCTTGTTTATACCGCTCTCATCTGTTGTACCTCCTACCTCTTAGGCAACCTCCCAGCCTCTTTCAGACATTGTTTCAGACATCATTCCTCTGTTTGCTCCTGTGACAGGCATTAGGGCTCTTCACATATTCTGTGTCTCTTCATCCTCACGCTACAGAGTAGGATCGCACTTCCCTACCCCTCTTGAAGTTAAATATGACCATGTGACTTCACCCAATGAAATATCAGCAGAAGTGATGTGTGTCACTTTCAAATAGCAGCATTAAGAGCCACCATATGATTTATATATAAAATGAAGATAAAATTATAAAATATAAAAAGACTATAAAATACATTCTTTTTCCTGCCTGTAGAATGGAGACAATAACAAACCTTCCACATTAGGTGGTTGTAAGCTAATGTAGGCATTCCTCATTTTATTGTACATTGTTTTTACTGCATCTTGCAGATACTATATTTTTTTTTTACAAATTGAAGGTTTGTGGCAATCATGCATCAAGCCAATCTATCAGGCACCATTTTCTTGCTAAAGGCTCAGGTTATGGTTAGCATTTTTTTTTTATCAATAAAGTATTTTAAAGTTAAGGTATGAAAATTTTTTAGACATAATGCTATTGCACACTTAATATAGTATGGTATAGTGTAAACATAACTTTTATATGCACTGGGAAAGCAAAAATAAATTCATGTGGCTTGCTTCATTGCCATAATCACTTTATTGCAGTGGTCTGGAACAAAACCCGCAGTTATCTTGGAGTTAGGCCTGTACTCACAAAGCACTTACAAGAGTGCCTGATGTTCAATGAATAATAATAATCCCTTTACTGGGGTTGTTATAATAATTAAATAAAACATCTATGTAAAGCCATTAGCATAAACATACAGTATAAGCCCTTGTGGTCTGGTTTCAAAGTCTGTGCTCTGAGCCATTTACTACCTGCCTCTCAGTATAACTGCCCTAAAGGGTAACATTAGTGTTCTGTTTCCTGCCTTGGAAACATTTGTGGAAGTTGTGTTAACATGGAGACTCCATTAACTCATGATGAGCAGCAGCTCAGTACTCATCCTCATTGAACACAGGAGCATGGGCAAGAAATCCAGACTTCCCTTATGTTAAGGCAATTATATTTGGGGACTGTTCGTTGCTGCTATATAGCCTAGCCCATTTTTACCAACACAGCTTCCAAAATGAGGCCATTCTAAGATCTATACACCACATCTCTCTCCCTGCGTGACCTCACACAAACTCGATTTCAACCACTACCGATATATTGATGACTACAATACAGATCTCTGCTGGATGCCTCGTAGCAATATGTCCAACCATATACTGGATCGTTCTGCTCAGCTGTCAGCTGGGCACCTTGAACTTAGCAGTTCCAAAGTAACCTTCTCCTCTGGCCTGCCCTTCCCTCCAGTTTTCCTGAGAGTGAAGACATCACATCCGTCTAGCCACCCAAGCCAGAAACCAAAGCAACTTGAACTCCTCCCTTCCTCATCCATTCCCATCATCTAACAAGTACAGAGCACAGCCCTATGCACTTCTTCAGCCTTCTCTCATGTCTCTCCACTCCTGTAGTCTCACAGCCTAAGTCCAGGGCTTCACCACATCTCTTACACACACATCAGGGGTAGCCACGTGGTCTCCTTTCAACTGATGCCCATGCTGCTGCCAAAGGGTCTTTCCAGAACACAAATGTGATCATTTCGCTTTCCTTCCTTAAATCCTTTTAACTAGCTTGCCACAGTCCTCCAGATAAGTCTGAATCCTCCTTTATTCTGCTTCTGAGACTCTTGTGTCATCTAACTTCTGCCAACCTTCCTAACCTCAGCTTTTGCCTTTCCCTTTTATGTTAGCCCCATGAAATTAAATGCCATCTCTCTAAAGCAATACTAGCTGTTAACTATTATTGTTTATAGCAGCAGCAGTTATAATATTGCAGACTTTATCACTCCATACTACTTCAGGTTCTCGGATAATGTTGTTTCATTCCACATCTTTTCATGACGGTGTTGATGAGAAAAAGAAGTCGATTCTGGCTGCGGGCCAGTGTGTGGAGTGTGCACGTTCCCCACGTCTGTGTGGGTTTCCTCTGATGCTTTTTCCTCCCACATCCCAAAGATGCGCAGGTTAGGTTGGTTGGCATATCTAAATTGTCCCAGTCTGAGTGAGCGTGTGTGTAGGAGTGCATCCTGTGATGGAAGGACTTCCTGTCCAGGGGGAAGTGCCTGCCTGGAGCCCTGAGCTGTCAGGAGAGGCTTCAGCCACCTAAGACCCTGAACTGGAACAAGTGCCTTGGAAAAATCATTGTTTTACTTGTTTTTATTAATCTTTCTTGCACATTTGTATAGCTCACATTTATTTTGATGTTTACTATTAGAAGTGTTTTGGGTCTCTATTTAGAAGTTTGATGATTTTCTGTGACCAGAGCTATGTTGTAGGAACTTAACTCTTGTCTGTACCAATTAGCCTATGGTAAAATTAGTTGCATTATACGTAGTTTCACTTGAAGTCAGTTTCTAAGAACCCATCAACAACATTAGTGAGGATTTGCTGTATAACATCTGGTTTATTGTTCTCCTTCAGTGGACTGTAAACTTCTGGATAACAAATCTTTATTTAGTTTCATTCATCTTTGTATATCAGGACCTAGTAGAGTACTCAACATGTGGTAGATACTCAGCAAATGTTTGTTGAATGACTGTACAGCTGGTTCCGTAAATGAACAAGTGAATAATTACCGTAGATTTCCCTATATTCACAAGGTTTCACTTTCTGTGGTTTCTGTTACCTGCAGTAAATCATGATCTGAAATTATTTAAGTGGAAAATTCCAGAATAAATGATACATGAGTTTTAACTTGCATGCCACAGAACGATAATGAAATCTCACACTGTCAGCCCCTTCTTGCCTGGGACATGAATCATCCCTTTGTCGAGTGTTCGGACTGTATACACTGCCTGCTCATTAGTAACTTAGCAGCTGTCTCAGTTATCAGATCAGTTATCAGAGGATGACAGAGAGACCGTATTCACATAACTTTTATTATAGTATATTGTTATAATTGTTCTATTTATTAATAGTTGTTAATCTCTTACTATGCCTAGTTTATAAGTTAATTTTATTATAGTCATGTATGTATAGGAAAAAAACATAAGGGTTCAGTACTATTCACGGTTTCAGGCATCCACTGGAAGCCTGGGTATCCCCCAAGGATAAAGAGGAACTATTGTACATACACACACACGTACATATCCATAGATAAGTAAATGAAAGAATCCTCATTCCTCAAAGGGAAGACTTGAATTTCTTTCCTATACCAGAAACATAGATGCATGAAAAGAACAACTGAGAGAAGGCCTTATTTCCATTTTCATCTTATTCTATTGTTTCGTTCCTACCTGCCACATGGCCAAAATATACTCAGAGGGCTTACTGACTAAAAGCAAAGGAGTCTTGACATTCCCAAATCTTCTCCTGTGCTCTAGTTAAAGGACATGTAACTTCACCACGGTAAAGCCAAAAGGAGAACAATCTATATTGATTATGGAAACAGAAGTTATTATGGAAGTCAAAACAAAAAATAGCAAAAGGTCAATTTGAAGAGTTCCCAAGTGAGATAACAACAGAGAAAATAAGATAGTACATTTCCTTTCTCCATTTCCTTTCTCCATTTAAAAATATTGTTTCCCCTCTTTAATTTAAACACTAAACTAATAAACATGGGTTTTAATTCTCCTTAAATAACATAGCAACACAAGATGGTAAATATCAAATGGATTATTTTCAGTCAAATAAAATATGCAAAAAAAGGTTTTGCAAACATTTTAATTACGGAAGATTTGGCAAACAGAAGACAACACAAACCCTGCTTTAAAAGAGCTGCCAGCTAAAATTGGTTCTGACCTGAAAGGATGAGATTTCTTGGGAAATCTGTGTGGTTTCCTGTGTCTGTCAGTTTATTGGTTGGAGGATTAATCTTGAGTTGTTTCCCAATAAAATTTCGGCAGGTTATCTTAAAAAGAAAAGATGAAAACAAATATAACTTAGGTATTTATAGCCAAAAATTTGGCTCACTTAAAATGTTTATCTTATTTTTCATTTGTCAAAGAAAAAAAGAGAGAGATACAAAAGTATGCAACAAATAAACACTAGCAGAGACGGGGGGAGCAGCTACATAATTTTTTGTATTTGTTTTGTACAGCACAGCTGGAGGAGCATTAGGAAAATTATGTCGAGCAATTAGAATATAATTTTCTGATATTCTATAAATTTACAAGTCTAAATATATCCTCCATTATGTAGGCTGAAACATATTTAAAATATAGGCTGCTTTTCCAATGGCAGATTTTTCCACCCTACTCATAATTAAAGCAATTTAAACTTCCCTGGTGAAGCTTTTCAGAACTAACTTCCCCTGTAGTATTTTAAAAATTTATTTTCTAACAGATAGTTGAATGCTGAAATTATAAAATATCTGAAAGCAAAATATTTTTAAACAGAAGGAAACTCTTTTAAAAGATTCTCTTCTTCCTGTTGCTCCGTTCCCACTCCACGAACTGCCCTAGTACAGCCCTCCTTAAACCCCACTCTGATGTAGATGCCACCCCTCGATTGCCCCTTGTAGGTACTTCTACTTGAAGCTAGGAAGATAATCCTAGGGGGGCTGACCTAACCAGGTAAGACCTTGACATTGCTGGCGGTCTCCAAGCTCCAAATTCCAACCAGCGTCCAGGTTGAAAACTGGTCTCTCCTCACTGGATCCTCCCTCAGTGACTGCTTCAGGCCATACCTTTAGGTCCCTCCCTGCTCCTGCTCCTGCTCCTGACTTCCTACCCTGCAGAGTTTGGACTGGCTTGGTCAGCTCCGCCCCCCCCCCCCCCCCACCATCATGTAAGCCAAATCCTTGCAAATATCTTGATAGATAGATAGGTAGATAGATAGATAGGTCTTACTAGTTATGCTTCTCTGACTGAACCCTGGCTGGTACAGCCAGTTAGGTATGTCAACAGAGAATTTAGGAGAAAGGTCTAGAATGGAGATACAATTTTGACTGTCACTATAATAAAGAGGGTACTCAGATCCAAGACTGAATTAACTCCCCTAGTCAGAGTATGTGCACAGAGAAGACAGAGGACCAAGAACAGAGTCATGGGACACACTTAACATTAAGACATTGGGGAGAAGAGGAATAAGCAACAAGAAGACAGAGGAGCAGCCCCCTGTTTTACCCTCTCCCTTGTCTGCTACACTGCAGCCACTGGGGCCGTCTTTCTGTCCCACCGCAGGGCCTCTCTTCTTCCCTTGGGCTGGAATGCTCTTTCTTGCTGTATGGCTGGTGCCTTCTCATCAAATGTCACCATCTTGAAAAGGCCTTCCCGATTGCGCTTGCTAAAGTTTCCACCTCCCATCCCAGCCTGTTTCTATTCCATTTTGTTTTCTTCAGAGAACTTCCAATGACCATAAATCTTTTCATATGTGTCTACATGTTTATTATCTGACCCTACCTCTACCCTTCCGAAATTAAGCTCCATAAAGCAAGGGTTCAGACTGTGTTCTCTACACAGAATACGCAGGAGGCAAGACTATGCAAAGGCCATAGGACCTGGAGCTCTTGTGGAGCAGCTGCAACACACAAGCACACAGACAGGTGTGTGGGGCAGGGACAGGATGTTAGCCCCCAGGTGTGCCAGGGGCCCGTGGGCAGCATGCAGACTGTGTAACTGAATGCAAGGCTCTGATGTTAGGTAGTCAATACATACTCATTCAATTAACAAATAAGAGAACTTACTTACTGCTTTCCCCCACTTAACTCAAAGCTGAACCATAGGTTTCACGGGCCTTGGACACTTTTGCCTTTGTGAGCCCACTCCTCGTCCATAAAATCAATTTTAAAAATTGTATTTTATGTTTATATTGATATAAATATAGTAATAGTAAAAAAAAATATTTTCTTTGACCTAAAAGTTGATATTTTCTGCTTATTTAAGAAATAATTAAAACATTAGTAAGCCCTTAAAAGTATTATAGCTCTGACACTGTCCTCACTGTTCCTAATGGATAAATCAGCCCTGGTAAGTTTCTTGTGCAAAAGCACTTTCATTGACCATTTCTGGAAAACACTAGCACATAACAGGCTCTCAATAATGTTTGGTGATTTGAATGATAAATGCCTACATGAAAGTACTAACATTTATCTGATTCCTAAACCTTTGTTACATGTGTACTGATAAGAAGTCACAACTGCATAAATAATAGAGGCAAACTTACTTTCTCTTTATATTCAGCCTCATATCTTACACAAGGCTGTTGTGTAATATCTGAGCCCTCAGACTTGGATATTCTTAGAAGAAGCTGGCGTTGTGCATACACCAGGAGTGGCGTCACTTGCTCTGTATATCGCTCACTAGCAGGGTAAAAAATACATTAAAAAGTACACATGAGTTAAAACATTTTTTCAATGAAGACTGTCACTTTTAATTGCCCTGACAGCGGTACTTACTGTGAAATTATATTGAACTGAATGGCAAGCGATACTAGTGTTTCCCATTTTTCTACTTGATATAAAAGTTCCAGAGCTTTTAATACAAAGTCATGGATCCATTTCAAATCAACCACATTTACGTCATCCAAAGGATGTTCAAAAGTCAGGCTAGAACCACCATTATCATTTTTAATATTTCCATAGCAACTTGGAACACTGAACTCTCCTTTTTCTTCAATAATCTGCAAGTAGCGCATTAAAAAATGTGTAATTTCAGATTTTACTATACATTTTTTTTTCTGAAAACTGAATTGGTATATGAAAATAGAATATGGAAAAGACTGAACAAAAAATTTTTTAAATATTTTTATTATGCAAATGAAAGCTTGATAATGCTACCCAACATACTTTTGTGATGACAGAAATGTGCTACATCTGTGCTGTTCAATATAGTAGCTACTCAGCACATATGGGCACTGTGCTATTGAAGTATGACTAGTGCAACAAGGTTTTTAATTTTATTTCATTTTAATTAATTTAAACTTAAATTTAAAAAGCCACAAATGGCTAGTCATTACTATGTTAGCACAGACTATATACTTCAGACTATATACTTCATGAACATAGTCACTAAGTTACGATATTAATCCAATAAGGCAAAAAATTGAGGAAAAACAGGTTTTATCATATACAAATAATTAAATTTCCCTAATGCATTGGTTATATTAATCAGTTGGTAGTATAATATCTTCAGTTCCCTAATACAAAGGTCAAATCTATGGAGAAGGAACTTTTCTAGAAGACCCTCTTTTTTCCTAAGTTAAAGAATTACCATGTGTTGTGTTTCAAGCTTTGAGTGTCCAGAGGCTATGTTGAATCTCTGTTATTATGTGCATACACATTTATGAATAGTATGTTTCCCTGTTAATGGAGCCTCTTCTCATAATGAAATGTCCCTTTTTATCTCTCACATGCTTTTTGATTTGAAGACTATTTTATCTAATATTAATATAGCAGTGTCGGCTTTTTTATGCCTACTGTTTTTATGATATACAAGGTCTGTCCAGAAAAAGTCCAGCCATTGTTAATCTACCAAGAACGGTTTGCGCCACATCAATATAACCTGGCAGCCAAGGAGAGTGGACTGGAATGGACATGTGTGAACAATGATGACTTCACTGTACTTGGTCAGTGGGGGTCGTAGATGACATTGAGTGAGCACATGTACTGTGTGGCCATCACATTTAAAATGATTGAGCAAGTAGTGCAATGAATCTGTATCAAATTTTTCATTAAGCTTGAACATTCCTCCACTGAAATTATTCAGGTGATTCAGAAGGCTGCACCTATGGGCAACTGGTGATTGGCAGCTTCATCATGACAATGTACCCACTCATACACCACGTCTTATGCAGAGTTTTTGGCAACACATCAAATCACCCAGGTGACTCAGCCTCCCTACAGCCCAGATTTGACACCCTGGCTTTCCCCAAAACTAAAATCACCTTTGAAAGGGAAGAGACTTCAGACCATCAATGAGATTCAGGAAAATACGACAGGGCAGCTGATGGTGACTGGGAGAACTCTGTGAGGTCCCAAGGTGCCTCATTTGAAGGGGACTGAGGTGTCATTGTCTGATGTATAACATTTCTTGTATCTTGTATCTTCTTCAGTAAGTGTCTCTATTTTTCATATGACATGGCTGGATACCTTCTGGACAGATCTTGGATCTCTACCTACTGTTTTATTTTCAATCTGTTTCTTTATATTCAGAGTTCTCTTGAGGACAAGTGTAGGTGTCTTTCTTCTTAATTCAGTCAGATTATCTCTGCCTTTTATTTGGGATATTGAATCCACTTATATTTAATATAGTTATTGATATAATTTTGTTAGATTTGTTATTTCTTTATTTGTTTTCTATTTGTCCCATATGCTTTTGTTCCTGTTCCTTTTTTCCTGCCTTCTGTAGTTACCTATTATTTAGTTTTCCATTTTACTACCTTGGCTTTTTAGCTATATGTCTTTTTTAATAGTTACTTTAGAGATTATCAAACACTTCCTTAATTTATTACATTTACTTAGAGTTAATATTGTGCCACTTTATAGCTATATAAAGTGTAAAAACTTATCACAGCTTATTTATCCTATCAGTCTTTTGTGCCACGGTTGCCATATCTTTTATATCTGGAAATTGCCCCATGACCCTGTGTTTATGTGTTAACTAATTTTCAATGAGTTTAGGATATGTCATGTTTGAATTTTTTCAATTTTATTTTCTTACTTTAAACCACAGTGTGAAAGATTTTAAATGGTAAACTCTACCAGACCGAAGTAACAAAACAGGGACAGATAAAGCAATGAAATAAAGATCAAAAAACAAGCTTTATGATCTCTGATGGGGTCTGTTTCTTTTTCTGACAAAAGATTGCTATGAGGATTAAATGCATTAAGGTTAGTTTATGTAGAAGCTGGAGGCTAGTAAACATTACTTCCTGTTCCCTTTAAGAAATTGGATTTTCAGGCAAAGATATTTTAATTAACACCAATGCAAGTTTTATATATATAAAAATATATATAATATATTTTTATATATATATGGTGGGGAGGAAAGAGAGAGAGAAAACAAACTAATAATGAAAAGTAAATGAGATATAGACTAACTAAGAACTCAGGAACAATATTAATTTCTACATATCCTAAGCTGCATGGTAAAAAAAATTTGTTAATTGAATACAATAAAAATAATTACCCAAACACTCTTACCTCAATAGAATTGGTATTTTGTAGATCTATTAACATGTCAACAAGTAATTCTGCTCCCAAGTAGAATGGTAAAACAGAGATACAAGTGAAACTATCTTGACTAACAGGGAATACTTTATATATATCCACTTCAGGTTTAAGAAGCATCTGTAGCTCCTGAGTAAAGTTCCAAAGGGCCCGACAGCAGTTCTGAAGCAGAGTCCAAAAGCCACCACGATGAGCAAGAACCTAAGACAAACACAACATTCAAAAGACCCTGAAATTCCAAAAGTGGCAGATGTCTGAATGACTTCATCTTTCTGTAAATACTGTATGTCAATAATAAAAATAAGGTACACCATTTGTTACGTGCCATTTATATGCGCTAGACACTGTGGTAAGACCTTTATATGCATCATCTTAGTTCCTTCTTACAACAGCACCTATGAAGTAACTTGGCACTAGTAATCTATTATATTTACCAATAAGAAGATGGAGTCATAGAGCTAACTTGCCCAAGACCATGAATCTACTAAGTAATGAGCTAAGTTTTGCACATCAGTTGCTTGACTCTTAACACTCCCATTATTCTGGCAGCTGGAAGCAGGGCAGTGAGCAAGAAAAACCAGTTCTATTTTCATGCTGCCTCAATTTATGAGGGGAGACCAGCACCAGGTTAGTAGGAAAATAAAAATGTAATTTCAGGAATAATAAGAATCGTAAAGAAAAATAAACCAGAAATGAATCAGAACCTGACAAGGGTAAGAAAACATATCACTATAGACAGAATGTTCAGGAAAGAAGTCCTCTCGGAGGAGGTAGCTTATTGAATGTTGAGCTGAATGAGTCATGTGAAGGTGGCAATAGCGGTGTTGGGTGAGAGAGAGCATTTGAGGCTGAGGGAACAGCAAGTACAAAGGATAGAGGGTGACCCTGAGGGCTGAGAAGCACACAAGCTTAGTGCTTTCAAAACCACAGAGGGGAGAATGGGCTGAACAAAAGCAGGAGGAGCTGAGTTCTGAGAGGCGAGCAGGACCCAGACCTTCTAGGTGATGGAAAGGAAAGTAGGATTCAATGTTATGGTCGAGGAGATGTTGTGGGTGTGTTTGACATTTTTAAAAAGTCATTCTCTCCATGCCAGAGAGAATATGGGAACTTAAGTATGTTTCTTTTTTGTCTGGAAAGGGTAGATTTCCTCTTACCTCTTGAGAGGATTGAAGTATCCCCCCTCCTTACTAAGAGAAGAAGGAAACTAATTTCTTTGTAGCTAATGATTCCAATTCTGAGTTTAATAATCTATCACATAATATTTAAGAAGAAAGAGAGAAAACCTTTTGAGAGAAAACACAGTGGTCTTAGAAGCAGATGGTCAGGGGGCAGAGGCAGATCTTTCCTGTGGCCTAGAAATATCTTCCCCTGTGTTAGAGGAAAGAAAGGGGATCTATGGTACCCCAGGAGGGATCAAGGTTCCAGAGAGATGCCCTGGTGTTGCCAGAGAAGCCCATGTCCCAGGTGTGGCAAGGAAGTAGCAGCGGACTGTGTGAATATCCACAATGACCATGCAGACAGGGACAATGGCCACCTCTTCTCTGGGCAGATGGATGACTGGTGACTAAAAGAGCTCGTCCCCCTCCCTGACAACAAGACTATGCATAAGACCGCATTACCAAGGCAGGCAAACCTCACAAATAACCAACACAAAACCGAGCAAATTTAGTCTCAAAATTAAAACTAAAATTACAGACAGTAAATAAATAATTACAATCTATCTTACATGCCCAAATTTATGGGCTGAGATTTATGTCCCCTACATTAGCAAATATGAAGGACCACCTTACCATTGCTCTCCTGCAATACAAAAAGATTTTCATAAAATGATCCAATAGACTCAAATGTGGTGCTCGATCCTTTTCTTTAGTGCTAAGACCTGACTGAGGGTCTGAGTCACAAACCGTTTGTGTCTTAGAAACATTTTCGTCACTCATTTTGGAATTAATAAACATCAAAAACTCCCCAGCATCTACAGTGCAAAAATAAAGTATAACGTTATTGAAAACAGAGTTAAATTCCAGACAACACAGTAGGTGATAAGCATCAAATGAGTAATTCAGATAACAATGGCTATATAATTTTGGAGAAAGGACAGGATGATTATGAACACCATGAATCAGGAGAAGTTTCTAGAGAAGAAAGCATTTAGATTAGGTCTTAAAAGGTATGATTCAGCTATGCAGGAAAACTATGGAGAAGAACATTTCAGGCAAGGGTGATGGCCAAAGAAACAATGCAGAAGGAATTTCTTATTTTTTTGAGGGATCAATAACGGGATCACACTGTCCCTTAATTTCCCCCCAAACAAGCCATTCCCAGGACACATACCCTAGAGGTGAGTAGCATTCCCCAGAGTTAGGCCGTGCAGCAGCCTGGGCCGCTCATTCCCCTGTGGGTGTGGTATGGAAACACAGAGGGTCTCTCCTGCCACAAACCTTCTCTGAGAACTCTACATTAAGTAGTACGTCTCAATAGCAGAATATTCTTTTGCTGCCTTCATAAAAGGTCTTAGATAGGAGCTAGTTTTTAAAAAAACTCAAGAAGTTATATATTATAATCTACATATGAAACTCAGACTCTTTCTTTGTCTAGGAAACTTCCTTTCAAATACTCCAACATTTGTAGTATGACATGCAGGTACTAGTCAACTTCCTGGGACAGTTAGCCAGCATGTGAAGTATAGTGATCAGCAATAAGTTACACAGCACTCAAAATATCATTATTAAAAATCTACATAAGAGGGTTTATAATAGCAAAAAGATATTATACATAATTTTTTATTTGTGAAGTGAGTGGTACTCAAGGTAGGTGATTGCTTAGGAAGAGTGTTATCAGTGCAGCTAAAGAGACTCCTGTCACCTAGCCACATGACACTATTGATTGGTCCTGCCATCAGAACTGTTGCATTCATCTTTGAGTCAGTTTTCATGGAAGGGGCTGGCTGGAGATCATAAGGTAAGAGTGGACTGCCCTGAGTACACGATCGGTACTATAAAACGCTACATGACTGCTATCATGTCTGCTTGCACCAATACGTTTGGTGGAGTTTGTTCTGAAACTTACTTCCACTAAAATAGGATACCTGAGAGCCAGTCTTCACCTACCTTGACCACTGGGGGCTACCAATATTTGTAAAAGAACATATTTGCTAAACAAATTGTTTTACGTCAGAACACAATATATATTTTCAAATATTTATGATACTACCATAAAAATAGAAGTTTTTAAAAATAGAGCAAATATGAGTCTCCTACAAAATATCACAACTCAACTAAATTCCTGGGTCATTGGAAAATGGTGTGTGTCCTTCTGCATGTCTGCCAAGGGTGTCTGTGTGGATGTGTGTTGCATTAGTGAATAAAAATCTAGAGGCGATTTGATAGTATATTTATTTATTTTACCTGATGGTAAATTGGCCTTTCTTTTTTTAGTTGTATGAAGGAAGTCAAACATCACTTTATAGTTTTCTACAGTCAATTTTCCTGTTGGTAATACTGTTCCTGAATTATATAGTGAGAATATATTAGGATCACAAGATTGGAAACTGCAAGAGGGAAAAATTCTTATTAAAAAACAATACAAGCAAAATTGAATTAAATCTGCCAAATACGACTTTAATTTTTTAAAAACTTGTGAATTAGTGCTCTGAAATTTTGGGTCATAATGTATTTGGCATTTAACCAAACCAAAGAATTTTTTATTCCATGTTAAAATTATATGATGTAACTTTGTTCTTAGGAATTTTAACATTGATGCCTATTTTGGTGAAAGGGCCCATGAAGATGGGAATGGAGGATCTGTACTCGCTCTAAAGCTCTGAAACAGCAATTCATGTTGACTTAAAAACTGCCTGATTTAAACACAACTCAGTGATGATGCCTATACTGCAATATATACCAGTGTATCTGTAATCAATGCTTGTTTGTCTTTTAAAATAATGCATAGTCCTGGCTGGTGTGACTTGGTTGGCTGGAGCACCTTCCTGTAAAGAAGGCTCCATTCCCGGTTTGGGGCACATGCCTGGGTTGCAGGTTTGGTCCCAGGTAGGGGTGTGTATGAGAGGTGGCCTACTGATGTTTCTCTCTCTCATTGATGTTCCTCTACCTCCCTCCCTCCATTCCCCTCTAAAACCAATAAGCATGTCCTCATATGAGGATAAAAATAAATAAATAAGGTCTAAGCAATAAACAATCTTCCACCATACATACACACATATATATGATATACATACATACCGAGTATATATATTAATGGTTTTAATAAAACTGAATTTAGCACCAAGTTACCTGGACACAAATTTGACCACCATCTAACCATTGTGCTGCCAAGTAATCATGCGTGAATGGTTACGTATGATTGGAAGTTCAGAGGAGACTTCTCACTGTTCAGAGAACAGTAAGAAAGCCCCCCTGATCTGAACGGTTTTCCTTTCACGGCCTCATGAATGGGTCGCTTTGTCAAAGCCTTCCCTGCACATCAGGCAATCTAACTGCTTTTTTTTTTACCTAGGAAAGCAAATGTCTGACCTTTATGAGGACTACTTTTTTTTTTTTTTTTACTGTGTCGCTTTATTTTTTAAGTTTATTTTTCAACTACAGTTGACATACAATATTATGTTAGTTTCAGGTGTACAACGTAACGATTACACATTTATATACCTTATGAAGTGATCGTCCTGGTAAGTTTAGTACCCATCTGACACCATACATAATGATTATAGTATTATTGACTATATTTCCTATGCTGCACTTTATGTCCCCATGACTATTTTTATAACTGGCAATTTGTACTTCTCAATCCCTTTTACCTTTTTTTCTAACTCTTTCTTAAGTGCAAATCTGGTCTATCCTACATAGGAAAGGAATTTATCTAGATATTTTTGCAAAGGTTCAGTCTGATTTTAATCAAAACTCTGGAGAAACAGAAATTGGGACCAAGTTCCTTTGTCGACTTCAACCTGCATATTTTATCACTGGATTATTGAAATAAATATCCTCTTAATTCATATATCTGTCACCAGTGTTTCCTTCCTTCAATCCACTGGGTATGCTGCTGCCAGAGAAATATCTTATCATAGCCCTGCTCAAAACTCTTAATAATCTCCCACAGTATATAAATTAAAGCTCAGATTTAATAGACAGTTAAGATTCCCCATGATCTGGTACTGACCTGCTTGGTAATTATTTCATACCACTCCCTATCATATACCCTAAACTCTGGTTAGACCCTTTGGGGTTCTCATCCTGCATTTATCCTACCTGGGCAGTAAATCATGATTTTCTATCGACCTGGCATGGTACTTCCTTCCCTATCTACTTATTTCTAAATCTTGCCTGTCTATCAAGAGTCAGGCCAAGTGGCCCTTCCCCATGCAATCTTTCCTATTGGTCTCAGCCAGGGTAAAGCCTTCTCAGGAACGAGGAAGATTTTATGAGTACTTCAACTTCTACCATTATCTGCAATTATTCATTAATATTTCTCATCTACCCTACCAGATTCTAACTTGCATGTCCTGCTCATCTTTGTATGCCCATTGCACCGATCTCAGTACCTTGTATCTTATAGAGGTTCAATAAGTATTTTTTGAAACACTCTACACCACCTTTTAAAGGCTGCATAGTATTCCATTTTTGCATTTACCATCTCTTGTTATCCCCCATAACACTTTAGCCAAAGACATTCAGTAAAAGCTCAAAAATGTAATTTGAATTAACAGTAGAAACTTTGTATTTTATGAGAAAATATGACCTGTGTTTATAGAGGCTTACCATTGTATTCAGAGAGGTTTAAAATATCTCTAAATGAAATAGAGATTTGTCTAATACCTGCTAATATCTGCAATTATTGTACAATCAATATTAAATTTTTCTTGGAATGATATTTTTCTCATTTAACTGAAATCAATACTGAGAAACATAGTCAAGATATATGCAGATTAGTACTTCATAAGCACTTATATCCATCACCTATTTGGGGAAGATTCTAGGATAAGAAATTAAGAAATATATCAATGGCCAGGAAAGACAAAAGCACTCTCTAAATCTCTTTAAGTTATTATTAACATTGGAGCCCAGAACATACAAATACAATCCATGATCTTGAAACTTTACAAGTATTATTCATTGATAATATACTATACCTGACTATTTTATGTGAAGTTCCAAATTTCATCTTTGGACGCTCCCCTAGCTTTATTAAAAACAGGTTGAAGTGTGTATTTGCCAGATACAGGTTCATCTGAGCCTTCCAAGGCATCTCTTCAAGACATATTTGATGGAACCTCCTCTTTTTAACATAATTAAGTATTAGAGGATTCAAGTTATCCAGCAGGACTCGAAGTGCTATTTTTCTAACATCAGTTCTCTTATTTCTGCCAAGGGACAAAGAAGTTTTGAAATTACACACACTTTCAGATATTCAAAGAGGAATGATTCCAATTTGTACATAATGAAGAAGTCACTTACAGTCAAATGTTTCTGGCTTATTTATCATTTACTTAGTGGTGAAAATGTAAAATAGGACAATAAAGAAGGCACCAGAATAAACACTAGGGATGAAGTCACTACATATTTTTTCCAATTCTCTCTGATGTCTGTGTCCTAAGCTCAAAGCAAACAGAGCTTTTTTCTTTTTTCATAACCAAAAGGCCACTAAGACTAGAGAAATAAATTATAACATAATTGTTCACATTCATCAACCAACTTCAATATTGAACAAGAAAATCATTTCTCTGTATGGTTCCTTAAGAAAAAAAAATGAAGCAATTTTTTTTCTAACATTAGCTAGACTGTAAAAGGAAATAAAACATCAGTCAATGATAAGTGAAATAACTTCATAAATAACTTTCAATATGCTCTGAAAAAGCTGTTTCAAAATTTATCTAATAGTTCATATTTTAAGTATAATACACAGTTGCTTAAAATTATTTCTATCAAAATCTCAAAGTAGTCCAACTACTTTTATTGTCACATAGTTGTTTATATGGCATGACTTCATTTCTTCAAAATACTTTTCTCAACTCTTTTTTACTGTTGACAACATTGCTGTCCCATTGGGCAGTGCCATTCTACCTGATGTTCAATGCCCTTAGCCATGAGAAAATTGCAAGTTAAAGCCACAAAATATCACTAACACCTATTTTAATGCCTAAAATACGAAACAGTGGTAACATTTAATGCTGGCAAGCATGAGGGGAAATGAGAATACTCATACACTGCAGGTAGCAATGTAAAAAGGTAGGGCCAAATCAGAGTATGGGATTTCTTACAAAATTAAATGTACCCTTACCATACAACCAAGTAATTGTACTATTGGGCATTTTACCCCAGAAAAAAAAGGCTTTATGTCCACATTAAAAAAAAACAAACAAACCTGTACATGAATGTTCATATCATCATTATTCTTAACAGCCAAAACTGGAAACCAAGTGTCCTTCAAAGGGTAAATGGTTAAACAAATTGTGGTACATCTGTACCACAGAACACAACTAAGTAATAATAAGTGAACTAGTTATTCTTACAGCTTGGGTGGATCTCAGAGTAACTATGCTGAGAGGAAAGAGAAAGCCAATCTCCGAAAGTTACATACTGTATGATTCCATTTTTAGAACATTCTTGAAAGGACAAAATTATAGGTGGAAAGCAAATTGATGGTTGCCAGAGGTTGGGAGGGGGAGGGGAAGGGAGGTGGCTCTAATTCCAAAAAGGCAGCATGGGGTTGGGGGGCGGATGCTTATGATAGAACTACTCTGAATCTTGACCACGGTGACAGACACACAATTCTACAAAAGCGATAAAATTGCATACAACTAATATACACACACAGATGTGTGCATGTAAAATTATTATGGTCTGAATAAGGTCCATGGATCATATCATTGTCAATTTCCTGGCTATACTTCTGTGCTATAGTTATATAGTTAATTTAGGAGAAACTGGGTGGAGGATATATGAGATCTCTCTGTATTATTTCTTGTAACTGCATGCAAATGTACAGCTACCTGAAAATAAAGTTTTTTAAAATGCATGTTACAAGAAGGATGTCTATTATCACAAACTCTATTCAATATTAAACTTGAGGTCCTAACCTATATGCTAGACAAGAAAAGGAAATAAGAGGTTTGAGCATTAGAAAGAAATAAGCAAAACCTTCATTTCTATTTATAATTTGACTGTCTACACAAAAACCTGTAACTATGAATAAATTGTCAAGTTGTACAAAAGATCAAGTTATTTATAAATCAGTTATATTCCTATACATAAGAATAAAAGCATTCAAAATGTAATCTTAAAATACTGTTTGCACTAACACAAAAAGTGTTTCTTTGATGCAGCTAACAAAAGATGTATAATACTTTTATGGAGAATATCATAAAAAGTTACTGAAGGCATTACATTAAGACCTAAGTGGTCCACCTACTAATAGAAAGACTCAATATTGCTTTTTTAAAAAACTTCCTAAATGAATCTATATATTCAATTCGATCTCTATCACAATCACAAGATTTTTGTAGTATTTGACAAGCTACTCCAAACTATTTTGTGGAAAAATATCCAAGACTTAAGACAAATGAAGGAAAAGAACATGCTGGAGAGGCTTTTCCTATCAGACAAGACTTAATTTAAAGCTAGAGTATGATGGTGTGATGTTGCCTCAGGAGTAGATAAACAGACTAATGGGATGTAAAAGAACCCCAAAATGACACATATGAACACTTACCAAATGACAACAGTGACAGTGATCTACTCAATAAACGAGGCTAGCCAGGTGGGTGCCTACAATGAAACTAAAAAGGGGCAGGGGAACTCTTTCCCCTCAATTCACAAAATTAAACTGTAGTTGAATTGAATTCCTAAATGTGAAAATCAAAAATTTAAACTCACTAAGAAAATACCCTTACTACCTCCAGTTAGAGAATTTCAGAAAACAATAAATAGAAATATCGTTACAATTGACTTCATTAGCAATTACAACTTTTGATTTTTTTTAAAAACTTTAAAATGTACAAGTATATAGATGAGTCACAAAGTGGGAAAGACATTAATATCTAAACTTCTAAAAATAAATGAGGAAAAAACCAAAGTTTTTAAACGTGCCAATATCTAAACAAGCACTCCTGAGACTACAAAAACCCTAGGGTCTAATAAAAATATGAAAAGATGCCCAACCTCATCAGTAATCAAAGAGATAAAATTTTACATCTCATAGTTTCACAAAAATTTGAAAATTGATAATAATATCAAGGGTTGGTGAAGATGGTGAATAACGGAAAATTGAAACACCACTCATGAAAATTTAAGCAACTTAGGCAACATCCAGTAATGGATATAAAAAACAAAGATGTTCATTTCTTGGGAACTTCACTCCATTTAAAAACAATTTAAATGTCCGTTTACAGGAGACTGAATAAAGTTTTATTTATTCATATAACGGAATACTATACAAAAGTGAAATGAATAATTAGACGTGTAATCGACATGAAAAAACATCTCACAAACATAATATTGAGGAAAAACAGCAAACTGTCAAAGCAGATTGTAAAAAATAATATATTATTTAGGCTTATACACATATATAATTGAAGTATCAAGTCACTCACAAACCTGATAAACTGCTTCTGGAATAAAGGGGATGGAGGTGTCTTCTGAGAGGGATGTATGAGAATTTCAACTGTGTTTGAAATATTTTTATGGTTACCTGCATATGTTCATTTATATCATTTTCTATACCCACCTAAAATTTGTCATATTTTAAATTAAAAAGCAAAGAAACAATCAGATAACAGGCCAATGCAAACAAAAAGAAAGTGAGAATGGTTCTATTAATATCTATAGTTAAAAATTAAGATCAAAATCAATAAATGAGTAAAGAAAGATATTACATAATGAAGGTAAGATATATAAAGAGTTTATAGGAATCATAAATGCATACTCATAAAAACAGAAGCTAAACATTTTACCATGTTAAGTTTTATTGTTTAAGTTTTGTCAACGAGAACATTAGGTCCACCAACAATAAAAAGTATTTTTATTGGTCCAATTTGGTCTTTTGACTGACCACCCTATCTAAACTACTGCCGCCATCACCTCCACCCCAGGCCAATTACTCTGTAGCATAGCATCCTGTTGATTTATTTTTTAAAATTTATGAACATTTTAATTGCCTTGTTTACTGTGCTACTTGCATTAGTATCGAAGCTCCTTGAGGGTAGTGATCTTATCTGTCTAGTTAACCAGGGTATCCCTACATCCCAAAATAATGCCCAACACATAGTAATGATCAAGTAAATGTTTATTGAATTAATTAAATAATAAATTAATACCTTTCATGTTCTGCCATTTCTAAAACATATGGATTTTTGGAAAAAAAGTCTCTTAGAGTTTCCTTTTTTTTACTTCTTCTTCTTTGTATTTCTGTAGTCTTAATATAGAAGAAAACAAAAAATGTTACAAAGTAAAATTCTGAATACTATTGAATAAAACTTACTCATACTCTAATGCTTATCTCTTGATATTAAAATAAATACAGTGGTTCCTTTACACCCCTTGATTAAAATTATTACCAAAAGTAACAAAAATACCCCTGTAGACAAAAAATATGATTATTAAAATATCCATATGAGAACTTAAGAATTATAATGTATTGTATAATTATAAAGTTACGCATCATAGAATTTCCTTCTGTTTCATGTTATAATACATTTTAATGCAGCCAATAATCTGTAGATACATAAATCTCTTCATTTCATTAACTCAAAATTCAAAACTCATATGAAACTTACTCTCCCAATCTCCATTACTGCAGCTTTGAAGTTCTTTCCAGATTTAGTTGCCCTTTTACTCAAAATATTGTCCTTGTACCTCATTTTTTTAATTCTAAGTAGGGACTCATTTCTCCTATATAAAAAAGGTAGAGTCAATTAAAAGGATCTTCAAGAATTGCAAAACTATACCAAAGTAATAAATCTTTAATGAATGCTGTCAGTAAAATCATACAAGAAAAATATCCAAAATTGTTTGTGTCTCATGCAAAAAGTAGACTGCGACGTTCCTGGTCATGAAGGAGTAGTTGGCCCCTCAAAAGAGCACAGTGTAAATCGTACCATAAAATGTTATTAGAGCTGATGTGTGATGTAGAAAAAACATAACTGGACCAGAAATAAAACATGAACACTTCACTATAAAACTCAGAAGATAACTACATGAGTGACCCTAGACAAGCACCCTTTCTTCCAATAAATTTTAGTCTTTGTGGTGCCATCATGTGCCAGCTTCCAGCCATTATCGCCTCTGGATGCCAACAAAGCATTTTAGATGACTACTAAATTTTCTCCCTTCCCCCAATCACCTGTTGGAATTCTTAACCTTGTTTTTTTTTAATCTGCCATGGACCCCTATGATAATCTGACCAACTCGGCAACTATTATGAAGTCTCTCATGATTGTCCTCTATTGACACTTATCACCTATTTTCCCTGAAATTTATATGGTTCCTAAAATTTATGTCTTTTGGAAAGTATAGCAAAACCCTGCTGTACCATGATAAACGGAATCCAAAGCTTGAATTGAATAAAATGTAGGGTCCCATCAATGCAAGCCTAACAAAATGAGTGGGTCAGTCTTAATTAAACCTATAAATTAATTTGAAAGTAATAGAAATCTTTACAATATTCCATCTGTCCATTGAGTAATATACTATGTCTCTCCACTTATTCATTTTTTTAATCTCTCTTAGTAAGGATGTTTGGTCTTCTTTATATTCACCTAAGTCCTCTCACAACACCTAATAAATTTAATCTTGTACTTCATAGAAATGGGATAAATGTTCCAAATTCATCTCGGTCCCACTGGCCATTGGCCTCTTGCTTCAATTTTGATGATGATCGTCCTGGATCTTTTTGTTGGATGGAACTCCAGCCCAGCTGCAGCAATTCCAAATAATCTCCCATCTAGTTGATACTCATCTTGGCGAATGTTTTGTCTGCCTGAACTAGGAAGTTTGGACCAGTGACCACTGGGCATTTGGAGATCCCTCCTTTGCAACAGGGAATTTGAAAGTGGTTGCCAGCTGTTTTCCAAGCAGCTTCATCTCTTTCTTACCTCCTCCGTATCCCACCCCATCCCACCAGAATCCTTGACCTGGTTGCTCTATTCCAGGAAAAGAGGGGAAGGAGAAGGGATCATGCAGGTACACTTGGGCTACCATCTTCCCAATCCTCTCGCATTCTCGCCTGTGCTCAGAACTCTCATCCACTGAATAAATTAAACTCCTTCACAGCTCAGCCTCTCATAGGATGCTTTCTCCTAGTTCTGACTGCTGTTGTTTTGTTTATGTTATTATAAAAAATAGCCTTTTTACATTTTTATGGAGTCAACGTTATTGATCTTTGATTTCATGGTCTGTTCCTTATTTGGTCACTTATATTAGTGCATGTTTCTGACTCAGAACATTGAGTCCAATGGCTCTCTGCCTGTTATGTCAAAAACACTTTATACTTTATTTGATAGTACAAAGTTCCCCTTTTTCTCTTTTTAATTTTTGAAATGTTTTAATTATTCTAGTCTGTTCCATATAAACTAACCTGACTGGAATTGCATTAAATCTAATAATTAATTTGAAAGTAATAGAAATCTTTACAATATTCCATCTGTCCATTGAGTAATATACTATGACTCTCCACTTATTCAAGTCATTTTTTAAAAATATCTCTTAGTAAGGATGTTTGGTCTTCTTTATATTCACCCAAGTCCTCTCACAACACCTAATAAATTTAATCTTGTACTTCACAGAAATGGGATAATTGTGTTATTATACTTTCTATTTGATATAGGAAAGCTATTGATTTTGCAATTTTGCATCTAGCCATCCTGTTGAATTCTATTATTAGTTCTGATAGATTTCAGTTAATTAGCTGTAGAGTTAAAAAAAATTACTTGCAAATATAATCATCTTATCTTCGTTTTCAGAGTACTTTATTATAGGTTCATTTGACAAACATTTTTGAGATCCTATTATGTGATAATCACATAAATTCTAATCATAATTTCTATTTCTTATTTTAAAACACAGGCAAGAACTTTCAAAACAACATTAATAGAAGGAATAACAAGTTTTCTAGTTGTAAAGCTTACTTTACACAGAAAATATTCTGTTAATCCTAATTTGTGAGGAATGATTGCTGAATTTCACATGACCTTTTAGCATATACTAAAGATTCTGTTGACTACTGGTGAAAATTATACTTACAGATTTCCTACTCCTATATTTATATGAAGAATAAAATTTATATTTTCAGTGCTGAATTTATAACCAAGAATCACATTTTGGATTTTCGCTTCTATGTACTGATAAAAACAATCCATAATTTTCCATTTCTGACTGACTTTTTATAGAGCCTGCTGTGATAAATTTACTAGGAGATTTTATACCCATATCCTGAAGTAGCTTTATGTAAAACAAAAATTATCTGTTTCTTTAAAATATAAAAGAACTAGTCTAAAAAAATCTGAGCTATCCTATTTTTTACAGCTTCAATCAATTCTTCTAACTTAAAGTTTTCCAGATAATCACCACTTTCAATTAGATTTTCAAATTATTCATATTAAATTATACACACTGTTATCTAATGTTTGTTTAATCACTTCAAATTTATGGTTATTTTCTCTTGGCTTACTTGTATTTTGCTTTTTCTTATGACAGTCAGAAATTTACCTAAGTCATTTATATCTTTAGAGAGCCAGCTCCAGCAGTTCTCAATTGAACTAGTTTAAAACCAACTTATAATTGATTAATTTCAACTTTTATTTTCTTCTTTCTGCTTTCTTAGATTTATTTTATTTTTCTAATTTTGCAAAATCAATAAAAGTTCATTTAATTTTATTTTTCCTGTTTAGTAATAAAAGCTTCTAAAGCTAAAAATTTGTCTCTAACTGCTGCTTTGAGTACATGCAATATTAGGGTTTCTCATTCTCATTATTTTTAAAAGGCTCTATATCTTTAGTTAAATTTCCTTTTTCATCCAATAATTTTATATGCCAGTGATGTATTTTGTTATAAAATTTGTTTTATTGTAATGTAAAAGAAAGTGGTCCTAACAAATTTTAGTCTGAGTGATCTACTGGGCTTTATTTTTCTGCTTAAATACTATTTTTTAAAAATTTAATGAATGTTTTAAAGTGTGTTTAGTCTCAATTGACTACATATAGTAAATTAATCTTAATTATATTAGTTATATTTTCTATGTCCTTTCTATTTCTTTTTTAAAGTAGCATCTTAAACTCTATATAATGTTTCTGTCAAATTAGCCTTGTATTTCAGAAGTTATTTCCATATACTTTGACTTTTTGTTACATAGAACATGAAAGTTCATAAAATATCTTCATTGTGATTTATAAGCATTGTTGGTAGAATCATCCACTTTGAATGTGAATAGGTGGCATTAAAATCAACTAACAAAAATTAACATCCTTTAAATATTACTGGGACAATTGATAATATTTATCGGGGGAAAAACAAACTAAAGGTTAATCTAAATCCTCATACCAAAAAAAAAATCTATATGGATTAAAACATTAACTAGAAACCATAAAATCAAAAGGTTGAAAGAAAATACAGCTGCATATGTGCCTGCTACAATATGAGAAAATTTCTTTGTGTAAAACCATGCTAAGCATATGAACAAAAAAGAAGACATACCACTATCAAAGCAGAAATCGAGGTGTTGCGTCTACCCCTCCTCTATATTCTCTGACTTGCAGAAGAGCATCTTAAAACATCTGCTCAGGCTTAAAACTGAAATCATTACCTTCAGTTTGAACTCACTTAATATTGCTCAATTTTCAATCTCAGGTCTTTTATTATACTACTGGGCAACACTTGTAAGCCATTGTTTCTTCTTTTAGAATATCTATTTTGCTTAGATTGGATCTCCAAGGTCAGTCCTCCAAATTACACTGCACAGTGATGGTGTCTTCTAATTTTCTTCGGTATCAAGAAAATTATTTACAGCTTCTAAAGATCTAATTTTGGCTATGTTTTTTAAAAAATGTAATGGAACTTTCTAATTCTTAGCAATTCTCTTATTACTATGGCCTGCTTCATTTAATGCAAGCAATTTCCTCTCTTATCTTTTGAAAATATGAAGCACATATATTCCAAGTGCTTGTTCCAATAATAGAAATACCTATTTTAAGGAAGATTATTTTCCTGTATGTTTTTATGATGATATGTCTCTTCTGCTGGCATTTTTTAAATAGACTCCATGTTATTGATGCTTCTTATTACTAAAATGAGATAGATCTAGGCATAGTGGTGAAAGTAAAACCCAGTGGTTGGAATAAAAGTTGGGTTCATTGGCATCTCTCTTAGCTGGCATGAAACACTACAATTTTATTTAGGGGCAAAGAGAACCACTCAAGCTTAGAGAACAAGGACAATAGCTTTAAGTTTTACTACTTCTATTTGAGGAACTACCCATTCATATATGCAAATGGACCCCAAGGAATGGCTCTGCTTGCTAATGTAGAGGAATTAGAAAAACATAATAAATGACCAAAACGGGGCCAAGAAGCCTATGTGTGAGGAGCTGATGGCCCAGAGATGTTATAACCCATCTTGAATCAATAGCAAAAAAGGCCTAATTTATTTCCTGCTGCAATTATAAACATGCTCTAATCTTATTCCTTAGTTCAGTTTTATAAAATTTTTATATTTATTTACACACATGGACATAAATCTCACTATATCCCAAGTGGCTGTTTTAAATGTCTATGTCCTACACTCTTTTTCATCCACCTTATATAGCTTTATGTGACAATGTTACTCATTTTTTAAAGCTGTTAGTAGCAATAAAACAGATATTATAAGTACCTTTTCAAGAAGTCACAGACAGGATTTGTTATCTCCACCACAAGGTAAAATTTTTCATCATTGATACATTTTAGCATAATTTGCGTAAAAAACTCCAGGAATCTAGGTCTCTGCTTAAATTTCATGACTATGAAAACAAGGAAGCACATATATAGTTACCAATACACTTAGTTATTGGTGCTAAAAAGTTACTATTACTAATAATCATGTTGTCCTAACAGGCAAGTTTATTAACCTGCTCTTAAGATTTCTCAAAAAATATGTAGGAATAAATTTGGCAAGAACTATTGTTTTTCTAAAATCAAATAATCCATTACAGTCTATATTTCCTTTATTTTCCAAATATCTCAGTGTTAAGAAAGATTTCATAAAAGTGGCCTTTCATGTACAACTAGTTGGGAAAAAAATCTCTGATAATAATTAAAATTAATAGCTACCCTAATTATTATTGTATTGCACTCTGAGCTGAGCAATAATGTTGCTACGTCTTCATAGTTGGACTTAAAGATCACTAACACATTTTTCAATTCCTAGTTTTTGTGTTTTAGAACAAAACTATTTGCTACCCAAATAAGCCACCCTCAAGGTTCTGTCTTCCCACACTCTCTATCAGGCACCTATTTAGGTCTTTTTCATTATTTGACAATCAAGAGTATGAATTACTCTGAATGGGTAAAAATAACCCCAAATCTTCTGCCTGGAACAGGTGAGACCTCCAAGTATCACACAACAACAAAATCCGCAGAATAAATGACCTTCAATAATAGGTCAAGTGAACAGCACATATACATTTAGGTCACCCACCTTCTTTCACAGCACCTTTGACTGACCAATTTAAAACTATAGGGTAAAGAAATATAGGGTCCTCTGCTCCTGAGAGTTCAGTTGTAACATCTAAGGTAAAAAATAATAATAAGTTGTAGGTTCTGTTTAACATCAATAACCAAAAAGAAAAGTTCTTTGGAGGATATGAAAAACAGGAAAACACCCAAGTATGCTTTCTTAATTTTGTGCCTTAAAAGTGTCAATTAAATCATATTTTAGAGATTAAAAATCTAATAATCTCAATCATTTTCCTCTCATTTCCCCCCTGAAGAACCAAGGAGCCTGCTACCAAATAGGTAAAGAGTTTCCAAGGCAAGTAAGTGTCTCTCCTGTTCAATAGCTGTTGTGTATCAGTAAACCCCAGACTCAGAAACCTACCAATTACATCAACTTTGTTTTTTATTAGATTATCATTAAAAGATAGTAAAGCATAGAATAATGAACACACAGCCACTGGAGCCAGACTGCCAGCTTCAGAGTGTCACCCGGACACTTTTTAGTTATGAGACCTCGAGTAGTTATTTGGCTTCTTTTCGCCTCAGTTTTATCTTTAAAAAAGGAATAATAATAATAATACTTTCTGCATACAATGGTTATGTAAGGATTGTATGAGTTTTAATATGTACACAGGAAGCACTACATAAAACGAATATTTTTATTATTCTTTTGTTACTGAATCTATTGTTTAGTTAGTAAAATTAGTAACATTATACTGTGTTTACCGGTAAAATGTGAGAGGTTTTTCTCTTTTTCGATAATATGAAAAGAATAATTCACATTTCTAGAACACCTTACATTGTAAGGAATTATAATTTTATATATAACTAGGCAATTTCAGCTTTCCCCAAACTATGTTTACTGGTTATGTGACTAATAGAGCATTGGGTTCAAAATTCAGCTTGTAACACGGAGAATGATGAGAGGTCCAAGTCAGGGAATCCCAAAGCATTACAGCCACCCAGATAAAACCGAGACCCACAGTAAGAAAGGTGAGGTAGGGACACAGAGTTCTTCAAGTATAGGCACTTCCTGAAAGACCAAGGGGGCCAAAAGGGGAGTCTCCCACTGAAGAGAAATTTAGGTACTCTCTTGTTCTCTTAGAGGACCTGAAGTACCTGCTTTTTAAAAATGTGGTAATAGTTATCACCAGAAACTAAATCAATTTCTTAAGCAGATTTCCAAATTGCTAACTCCAAAATTCCAATCATTGTGTTAACATATCACTATACAGCACAATAACCTGAAATTAAACTAATCTTTCACTTCAGTAGACCTTGGTTCCATCACTCACACATTAAGACCCCTCATGCTCCCTCTTTATTTCTCAGTTACATTTTTGCTATTAGAGCAGAGATTCTCAATTTTGCACGTTCCCTCCCCAACCAACACATTTGGCAACATTTCCCTCCCAGCTTGTTGTCAAGGCTGGGAAAATGATAGGTTATGTGTCCATGGATAGAGGCCAGGGTTGCCGATCAACATCCACAATGCCTAGGGCAGTCCCCCACACAAATACTTATCTGGCCCAAACTAGCAAGAGTATCAAGGTTGAGCTACCCTGCTTTAGAAGATTTAGGCTCAAATGCAAGCTAGCTATGCAATCCTAAATAAATCACACAATCTTTATGAGTCACATCTGTAAAAAGCAGTAAGCAATCCCTTATTAACAGAATATTATAAGGATTATTGACATAATACAAAAGCCAGTATAAACCTTAAAGGGTTTACCAAATGCTAACATCCTCTTAATCCTTTTAGCAAAGTATTTTCTTATTTTAAAAAGTTATACTATTCAACAGAAGTACACAGATAGAAAAAAAAATGACTACATTGCTTTGTCAGTTTGAGAAGGTGTGTCTCCAACAAGACCAGCTGTTCATTTATTTTTTCAGGTGATATTATCTGCTGTGGCTTCTTTGTCTTGGAAGACTTCTTAGAAGAACCCTGGAAACATTGGTTAAATTTCAGAATGTACTTCAATATGTTTTTGCAATTGTCATTTTCAATTCTTAAAATTATCTAACATTCTTAAAATTATGTTTTTGTACTTGTAAATAATACTATGATCTACATGGCTAAACAACATGAATTAACAGTTGCCAGGGGGAAAAGAGGGGGTTGAGAGGAGGTGGAAGAGGGCAAAGGGGAATAAACAGTGGCAGGAAGAGACTTGACTTTGGGTGGTGAGTGTACAATGCAGTGTGCAGTTGAAGTATTACTGAGTTGTACACTTGAAACCTGCATGGTTTTATTAATCAATGTCACCCAAATAAATTCAATTTTAAAAAATAAGAATGCCATTCATTGTGTTCTAACTAAATGCCAGGCACAGTGCTCAATATTTTATGGAGGTTGACCAAAATATTTATTTTCTTCTCTCTTCCTTCCTCCCAGTAACTTCCATCCATCCTAACGAGCACCCGGATACACACACACTCTCCCAGAAGGAGTCAGGAGTATGGCTTTTAAAATCCTCAAAAGAAAATTCCCAGCATGCCCTCAGAAACATACCAGTTTTTGTTTTTTTTTCCCCTTTCTTTTTCCTAGAGGAGCTTCTTTACAACTCAGCTAATTGCCTTTGCTGCTTTGCCTTTCATCGAAACATAATAGGGTCAATAATTAGTGGATTAAAAATTTGTGGGGATGTGTTCAGGCTCCCTACCAACATTGAGAACTGACTGGTTAATTTCTCCTGTTCTCATAACAAAAACAAAAGCTACAAAAGCCACCCAAGCCTCTTTAGGCTTAAAGTAACCTTGAATGGTTATAATGATCTCAGTCCCACAGGCTTAGTCAGAAGGAAGTGTCACAACTTCTGCTGGACTCGGGACTCTTAAGCAAAGAGGCATGGGGCCCTGTCCTACAACGATGTGCAGGGACAGTGTCCTTAATTAAAGCCAGGGTGATAAGAAGGAAATGGCTGATAGGGTCTGAGAGCAAATACTTGGTGAAAAACCCCCTCAAACTGCCTCCAGCGTAATCAAAACTCTCTCTAGGCCAAGCAAACCCCTTCAAAACAACAAGTATCATGGCTTAAATATTCATCCAGGAAAACAGTGCTCATAGTTGAAGTTTTTTGTGACAAACAAATGTTTACTTGGAAACTCAATATATAATAGAGATAGAAATGCAGCTATTCCAACTAAAGCAGGCTTGGGGGTGCTAGTCTCTATCCCCACCCCAGTTACTGAAGGGGCTTCAAGTAATTCCTGGTGTCCCTCAGAAATCTGGTAAACTAAGCAACACTTCAAATTTGATCTACAAGAACATTTACGTATATAATTTATAGGAAAGGCAATAAAACAGACTCTAACAAGACCCATGCTTGGGAAGCAGATATTAAAAAGTCATCTCAAACATTAGCAGTCTCATAAAGGAGACACTTTAGGTGTGACGGTGAGTTTCGGAAATCTACTTTGAATATAGTAAAAAGGTCTGACATGTATTTACTACAGAAAATGATGCACCCAGAATAATAAAATCTTCAGTTCAGGAGAGACTTTACAGGTTTTTTAGTCCAAGGTCCAAACGGGTGTAGTCTCACTATCAACCCCTAACTGATGATCAGTACTGGTGATGGGGAACTTTTCAGCATTCTAGCATAGCTTTCTTTTTATTTATTTTTTAATCACAAAAAAGGTGGAGGAAAAGAAGCTTTTCACCATGTATTCATTTTCTTTTATGTAAATATAACAAATTAAATACTGGTCAATTTTTTAAATAAGTTTACTTATAATACACAACCTCTTAAAAGACTCAGCTAAATATAAGCTTAGTGATGAGAAACAAAAACACTTACCTCCTCTTGTATTTCTTCTTGGTCAGTCATACCAAATGGAGATTTGCACTCTGGTGTGATGTCCAACACCTTTTTTCCATAATTTATAATAATTACTGCCAGGTCATATTCCTTCCATGAACGCAGAATCTAATTTAAAATATTTACTAGTTATCTCTGTTGGAAACTCTTGTCTATTTCCAAGTGTCTTGCATCATCTTTCATAAACTCAAAAATCGCACTAATGTTTTGGGTCTAAGAATTTCCCTGTTTCTGTTAAGGAAACTGGAACTTTACCTCAGAACATACTTCCCTGGAATTAAAACTGTATGGTCCCACCATTTTAAGACAAGGACAAATAATAGGAATCCCATCAATAATGAACACCCCATATCACTGGGATAAACAACCATACATATTTTGGTATAATAAGTTAACGAGTCAGAAAATGTTTCTTCTTAAAAGGTCCATGGTAAAGCAAAATCATTCTTAAAGGCCACAGAAACATAACCTCTTGTCTTGAGTTGTTCTCAACGTGACATGGCACAATTGCTGACCTCACCTCACGGTGTTGGAGGGGGCATTTATATCAGTAAACGATTTACAAGGCATCTGGTTGTGGACGAAGCTAGAGTTAAGCTGCTTTTGACAGATTCTCCATGGACCCCAGGGGAAGCAGACACTGATCACAGGAGGGGGCATGGCTCCCTCTGCCGCTCTCATGCGCATCCCCCGTTCCTATTGTTATTCTTTGGCCTTCCCGACCCTGGCCCTTACCTACCTCTCCAGCGTAAGTGTTCATCACTCATTTCCTTGTATTTTAAGTTCACAAAATATCGAGCCAAGCATATATTCTGACACTCACCATGGTTTCAGGACTTCATGCTTTCCCACAGCTGAGCCAGCTGCCAGAACAGCTGCCCCACTTTATGATGGTAATGCCAGGTTATTAACGTAACCTGGTCATTAAAACCTGGGCTCTAGTATCAGCTCCAAGAAAGCTTCCCTGGCTGGCAATCTGATTTGCATAGAGTCTGTGCAGTGAGGGGTCACATGAAGGGAACACACTCATTGTGAACCCCATAAGGTGAGCCTCTATGGGCACAAATAAGCTTGTATGGATTTGTTATATGTAGATGCATTCTGTTAAGTTGAATAAGTCAGTATTTATGATAATTAACAACTGTTACTTTCCAAGCAGGGGAAGGATATAATAAGTGGCTGGGAGGGGGGGGGGGAGTGACTAGCTGCTTAAACCTGATAAAACCAAGTTAATGCAAGGTGCTAAAAACTGGAAATATTTCAGTGGGACCAGTGCAATGGTGGTGAACTAATGCTGACTGCGGAACAAAGAGTGGGAAGGAAAGTGGTGAAATGAAGTCTGAAAAGGTACATGGGGTTAGTCATGCAGGGCCTTGAATGCCAGGGAAACAGTCCAACCTCATTACAAAATTGATACGAAAGGGAGATAGTGTTGTTATCACAAAGCAGAAATGAGCTAATGTGTGTTCTCCACTCAACTTTGCTTTCCGGCATATTTAGGTCCTAGGCTCATGGAGTACTAGGTCATCTCTCCCCCTTGTTATAATATGCCAGCAGAAAACACTACATGATAAAGAACTTTTCAAATCAAAAGAAAAATAGAACTAATTCTACCTAACATACCAAACGAACAGAAATAAGAAGACTATGCCAGATGTTTAGCATAGTAATTTAACAATGAGAAAATAATGAAACACTGAAGATGATGTATCTCAGAAGTGGCACTTCATTTAGAATTCTGGCAACTTGTAGAAAAGCTACTGCTGCTTATAGAAGAAAGACTGAGCCATCTGAAAAGATTACCAATTTTTTAAACAGAGAAATGAAACAGCCAGTTGACTAATTGGGCTTCAGAAGAGAAAATCCATATTAAAAATGTGTTACATGAAATGAACACCTGAAATCTGGGATTCAGGACTAGTCTAAGGTTCTGGAATTAGTGATCATGCTGGAGGAAGCTTCTGGAATGACAATTCTCAATATATCAATTTGGGACAAACCAGTTCTAACAACAAAATCCTGCTATTAATATATATATAGCAAAATCCTAAACTAACATATACTTTACTTTTTAAAAACATGTCCAGCCCTCGCCAGGTACCTCAGTTGGTGAGAGAGTCACCCTGATGTGCCAAGGTTGTGCGTTCCATGGCACAACCTTGGTCAGAGCACATATAAGAATCAACCAATGAATGCTAAGTAAGTGGAACAACAAATTGATGTCTCTCTCTCTCTCTCTCAAATCAATAAATTTTTTAAAATGTCCAGAACATCCAAGGTCATTTGCATAATAACATCACTTGAATCTCAGTATCATTCCTCAGGTGGGTGGAAAGGCAGTGGAGCCATGGATGGGAAAACCAGGAAATGCAGAGCCAGCCCCACGCTGCCGTGTGCTACAGGAGAAAAATCACACAAGGCCAAGAAAGAGGGCATGTGAATTCAAGGACTTCGGCCTCCACTGGGCCCCCCATGCTGGCTGGAACCCTACTCGAGGTCAGCACTCCGTCCCATCTTCCACAGGGGCTGTCACAAACCCTCCCATTCTCCTCACGTCTCTGAAATTCTCCCATATTCTTCACCTCTTCACACTTAGCAAATGGCCTTGCTTCGTTTTCACAGAGGAATGTAGGGGAACTAGCTTACCTCCAGTCCACAAACCTACCTACACACTCACCTGTAACTACAACTGTTTTTTTCCACCTGTTAGAGGGGAGAGGTGAATTTCTGTCCATACTAATCCCTCCTGCACATGCTCAGATCCCATCACCTCCTGCCTTTTCAGTGATCCTGCTCTACTGGTTGCCCCTCCTCTTCTATATCCACATCCTTTCCCTCTCCTGGCTCCTCCCTATTAGTAGACACATGTTGTGAAGTACCTGGATAAGCAGAATTAGGCTTGTGATTGGTTGGTTTGTTGGTTGTTTGGTTGGTTGGTTGGTTGATTGGTTTTTCAGCAGAAGTTGCTATTGGCAAATTGCAAGCAACAAGCTGCTTCGGAATGGTGTTTCTTTGTTCTGAAGGAAACACTATAATAGCCGCTGTTAGGTATTTAAATCTAAAGTGAGTAGCTACAGGTCCATCCATACTGTTGCAAAGGGTAAAACTTTCTTCTTTTTTTACTTTTTATGCTAAGAGAAATAAGCCAGTCAGAGAAAAATAAATACTATATGATTTCACTCATATGTGGAATCTAATGAACAAACTGAACAAGGAAAAGAGGGACAGGTCCACAGATAGAGAGCAGTATGACAGATAAGGGGGAGTGTAGGAGGTGGAGGAATTGAGCAAAAAGGAAAAAGAACTCATGGACATGGACAACAGTGTGGCGATTATTGGGGAGGGAGGGCTATAAGGGGTCCACTACTAAATGGTAAAGGAAAAAAATACAATAAAAATAATAATAAAATAAAAATGTAACTGCCTTTTCACCCGGCAATTCCACTGCTGGGAATATACCTTAAAAATCCTGAAACACCCATTCAGAAGAGCCTATGCACCCCAATGTTCATAGCAGCACAATTTACAATAATCAAGTGCTGGAAGCAACCTAAGTGCACAGCAGTAAATGAGTGGATCAAAAAACTGTGGTACATTTACACAATGGAGCACTGCACAGCAGAAAAAAAAGAAGGAATTCCTACCCTTTGCTACAGTTTGGATGGAACTGGAGAGGTGGTGAAAGACAAACACCATATTATCTCACCTATAAGTGGAACCTAATCGACAAAACAAATAAGCAGGCAAAATATAACCAGAGACATTGAAATAAAGAATAAATTTACAGTAACCAGAGGGGAGGCTGGAGGGGTTTAATTGGGGAAAGAAGAGGAAGAGTTGTCAAGGAACACGTATAAAGCACATGGACAAATCCAAAGGGAGGTAGAATTGAGGGTGGAAGGTGAGGGGGGGTGAAGTAGGAGAGAGTGGTGGGGGGGAAATGGAGACAACTGTACTTGAAAAACAATTAAAAATTTAAAAAAACAAAAAAATTATAAATAAGTTAATAAATAAAAAAAATGAGTTGCTGTTCAGTATCCTAGAAAGAGAGTGTGACCCCTCTCCTGGAAATACTCATTGATGGAAGGGTTTGGGGAGAAAAGGCCAAGCAGATGAATATATGAGTATTCTGAAGAAAAGTAACCTTGGAAAGTACACTTAACCTAGCATAACACTAATTAATGTGTGACTGAGCAGCAGAAACAGAAGGGGGTGCTTTGGGTTGTGTGGGACCTTGCCTTCTCAATGACTACACCATGGGACAATGACAGAGCTAATAACAGCAGGAAGATTCTCAAGGCTGGGGAGGACTTAAGAATGACAGAATAGCTTTGGACCAATTGACTCTCCAATTCCTTCTCTTGCCTGATGAAAGCAGGACTGGCTCCTTGGACTAAGTGCTCCTTGAGATTCTTAGATGATCTTCCCTTCTCATGCTGCACACTGTCCCCCATTTCATCTATTTCTTTTGCTCCAATTGAGCCCGTATTCTAATGACTCCTTTGTCTTTATACATATTTGTCCTTTTCTGAACTCCAAGCCTATAGGCCCAATCATATAATTATAAAATAGCCACCCACTTGGATATCCTATAGCCCTCAAAATTCAATATATTCAAAATTCATGATTTTTTTCTCTCTTTCCCACACAAAATTGCTCCACATCAACACATAGCATTGTATTCACCCCACTGCCCAAGGAAGATACCTGGCTGGTTGTGAACTCTCCCTTCTCCCTCCTTTATCTCCCAACAATCAATAGGTTTCCAGGTTCTCAATTCTCTCTCATTAATAACTCTTGAATCTTTTCCATTCTCTCTCCCACTTTTCCGCACTAGTTTATCATCTCTTACCATCTAAGTCATTCCCTGTCTCAGCTCTTATCCCCCTGTAATTATTAGGTGTTACACAACCAGAATAATTTTTCTAAAATGCAAATCTCATTGTATCGTTTTGGGATTTGAAACCTTTCAATGTTTCCCCTTATTTAATCTATTTATCCATTTTTTTTTGTTGCTATGTATCTTTCGAATTTTGTGCCCTGTTGAGAAAGGTCTCTCCTGACTTCAAGGCCACACATTCTTGAATCCACTGGGATTTTATTTTCTTTATGGTGTGAGGTTAGGACTCTGGCTTTGTCTATTTTCAGATGAATTATCACTTATACCAGCACCTTTTAATAAATAAATTACTATAATAAATTTTCATTTCCTCAATGAATCTTTTTTTTTAATTAATTTACTTTTTAAATACATTTGTCTCTGCCTTCCCCCCACCTCTTTCCCTTGCCCCCTCCCACCTTCCCTCCCTCTCCTCAATGAATCTTAATACCACTTTTGTTATATGTTAAGTTCTTCTGTAAACTTGGACTCTCTATTCTCTTCCATTGAACTATTCACTCATTACTCTATTAATACTATTTTTTATTGAAGTGGCCTTATGGTAAATTTTAATATCTATTGAAGATTTTTAAATTAATTTTAATCAGTTTCAGAGAAACCCAATTGGAGCTCTTACTTGGACTGCATTACATTTAAATATTATTTTAGGAAAGATTTATATCTCTATGACAGTAAGTCTTCCTATTCAGGAACTTGGTGTGGCCTACTATATGTTCAGATCTTATTTTGTGTCCTTCAATAAGAATTCACAATTCTTTTATCTGGGATCTTTAACATTTTGTTAAATTTAAAATATTATGTATTATATGTGGTATATTTTTCTCTCTCCATTTCTAACTGGCTACTGCTAGTATTAAAAATAACCTTACCATTCGTAAGTCTTTTACATATAATCACTTTATAAATTATCTTTTTAATTCTAGTAATTTCTGACTAGATTCTCATTGGTTTTTTGAGACCTCTATAATTACAGATAAATTATATTAGAAAAATACCATAAAATTAATTTCATATTCTTATCTGTTGCATGAGACAGAAACTTTACAAATAATGAATCACACTATTAAGAGTCAGCATCTCCTGTTTTAATTTTTAAATCTTAATTTTTAAAGAGATGACTTCAAAAATCTTCCATTTAGTATGATGTTTATTGTAAAACTTTGGTAAATGTCTTTATCATTACATTAATCCCCCTTATCTTTGGCTTTGCTTTCCATGGTTTCAGTTAGTGTGGTCAATCTCAGTTAGAAAATATTAAGTTTCCCCAACCATAGACATCATCGGCTCCTGACATTCAACCATTGACATCATCATGGCTCGATGACCCAGGATCATGCCAAGCAGATGATCTTCCTTCTGACATTGTCAGAAGGTCAATAGGAGCCTCAGACTACATCACAATGCCTGCATCATTCACCTCACTTTGTCTCATCACGTAGGCATTGTATCATCTCACATAAGCACAAGAGGGGTGGGTACACTACAATTAGATACTTTGAGAAAGACAGACGCCACATTTACATAACTTTTGTTACAGTATATTGTTATAATTATTCCATTTTTAATTAGATATTGTTATTTTCTTACTGTGACTAATTTATAAATTAAACTTTATTGTGTGTATGTATAGGAAAGAACAGTACATATATGGGGTTCAGTACTATCCATGGTTTCAGGCATCCACTAGGGATCTTGGACTGTCTCCCCCACAGATAAGAAGTGACTACTATGTTCAATAGCTTCCTTCCATTCCTAATTTATTTAGAAATTTTATTAGGAAAAGTTGCCTATTGTTATCAAATGCCATTGTAGCATTTTCGCATAACCTTCTTTTTTTACCCTTTAATTTGTTACTGTAAAATAATATCAAGTTCTATCTTAATGTGTAATTGATCTTCAGTACTTGACAATAAGATTAGAAAATAACCATGTGCCATCTAGGAGCAGAGAAGGTGATCAGACAGAACAGATCTGAAGAGGACTATATTCTGCCTCTCTTGGTTCTGATTAATGGTTTGGATCCTTAATTCTGCTTTTTCAGATATGAAAATTGCCATTCCTCTTTTATTTTTGTTTCCGTCTTCCCAGTACTTTTATCTACTCATTTCCTTTTCAATTAGTGTTTGTCACTCTGTTTTATGAGTGTTTCTTGAAATAATATACATGTAATACTGACTTTTTAGCCCATCTGCCAATCTCTGTCTTCTAAGTTCATTCACACTTAGTGAAGTAATTAATATATTTGATTTTATGCCTTCCATCTTATATACTATCTCTGTTTTCTTCTTATTTCTGCTGAATTAAGTATTTTTCTTTGCTCTCATTCCTCTGTTCATTTTTCTTTCCTATCAGTTTATAAGTCCTACTGTGTTTTAAAGTTCTGTTCATGGCTCTGAGTCATTTTTAAATATATTTATTCCATCCATAGAAAATTATTTTATACTATATGCAGTTTATATTTTTTTTTTGAAAGGCATACAACCATGCACCAAGATTCTCTAACTGCTCACCCCTCCCTCAGCCCCAAATAGAAGTTTTAGTTCTAGGTAACTAATATGTTTTCCTTTCAAGGATGATACTTCTATTTCAAGAATCCCTACTTAGCATTTATATCACAAAGTCCTACTACATAATTATTATCTATTTAATGTTAATAACACATATATTGCAAGATTCATTGCTCCCATTATTCCTCTCCTTTTTGTCTTTCCCTATCTTGGGATTTCTGTTCTGAACCACTTGTCATTTGATAGAGTATTTCCTCAAGTGTTTTCCCCAGATAAGTACGTAGGCAGAACACTTTTTAAATGCATGTACTTCTGAAAATGTTTACTTTGCCCTCACAAATGAATGATATCTTTCCTGGTTATTAATTCTTGGACCCTCAGGATTCTACAATTGTTGTGCCAATATTTCAAATGCTAGTGCTGCTGATTTAAAAAAAAAAGTTTGAAGCTAATTAACTCTCTTTCCATTGCAAATAACCTAATCTTTGGGTCTCAAAACTTAAGATTTGCCCTTATCCTCAGACTTCAGACATTTCTCCAACATACGTCTGTACATACATTGTTACATTTATCCTGCCTGGGATGCAGGGAGCCTATGTTTCTACATTTGTTTCTTTTCTATCTACAAAACTCCTACCATTTCATGTTATGACTTCTGGACCTGCCTTCTGAATTTTTCTCTAGACAATTCTGTTCTACATTGTCAGGTATTTCTTGAGCTTCCAGATTTGACTCAAGAAATACCAGAATCATAATCATCAACTTTAATTTTTTAATCAAAAATCAAATTAGTTTGTTCAGTTACAGATGTTTTCATTTTGATCATCTAATGGTATCACCTTGAAAGTTTTCTCTTTCTCTCTCTCTTTTTTTGTTTGTTTTAAGTAATCTCTGGTCTTTTCCAACATGGTAAGAATAAATACACAATTATTTTAGTGTCTGGTTTGCTCTTGCCCCTTGGGATTCCGAGTGCCCTAAAGTGAGTTATTTTTCTCTTCTTGCTAATGGCTTATGTCCCCTAAGGCTCTACACAGACCGGGCCATAGAGGGCTCTCCAGCAGTGGTAAACCAGTGAGTAATGGAAGAATAAGATTTTCTGCTCTTGAAGCCAAACCATAGCAGCCAGCAAATCATGATAATCATGACCCTTTGCTAAGGTAGAGGTTAGAAGCCTCCCTGTTGCCAGACCTCCACAGAAGCAAACTTCAGTTCCAGCGAAAGTGATGCATCAAATCAGCCCGCCTATGCAGTATTCTTCCAGATCCCTGGCCCATCATAGAGGGCTTGTGAGGGCCACATAAAACAGGCAGGCAGATGCAGCCCTTCTTTGAGGAGATTCACCGGATTCAGTCAACCAAACTTTTGAAGGAACACCTGGTCTTTGAGTCAAACAATGAGGATAAACAAGCCTACCTCTCTGCCTTGGTCTCTTGGTTCTTTCTCATTTCCAGAATGGATGAGGTCCTATAAAATGTCTTCTTTCCATTCCACGCCCCCCACCACCACTCTTCCTCAAGATACACCTGCCATGCCTTACAACAGACCTACCTTGGCTACTTTTGATCTAAAATGCTTTCTGGGTGCTGTTTTTTAAAGTAATCCCTGTAAAAGTAGCTTGGTTTCCTAAATTATTACTGTTCCTAAGTTTTGCAACACAACACAAAGAATGAGATAAATACCTTTGTTATGTAGAAGATACAACAAGCTATCATGTGCTGTATGCTTTCAAAACTCACAACATGTTTCTTTGAGTGGATGAAGTTTGGTAGTCCTTGCAAAACTACTATACACTTTATCAAGATCTGAAAAAATTGAAACAAAATGGTTTTGTTGAAAAATACTTCCCTTACACACTATAAACTTTTCTAGACAAATCATGTAAGTTTTAAGCCATCAAATTTCATTGTTAACTATTGATAACTATTGATAAATTGCTTATCATATAAAGGAGTACTCTCTGAAATAAAATTGACATGTTCAATTTTCAATGAGTCTCTCATCCAAATAACTTGAAAACCTGTGGGGAGAATAAAATAAGTAAATGAATAACTATAAAACAAAGCATATTTTGTCAAGTACCATAATAGATGTAGAAAGGATGTTACATGTATACAAGAAACACTAAGATCACATCCAGGCTTAGGAGAACCTTGAAAAACCCTGTAGAGAAGGATGTACCATATGAAATATAAACTGACACCAGGTATTTGAAATAACAGTTTCCTTCAAATTTAAAACCAAACATTCATATCCCAGGAAATTAATTAATAATTGCGTTTATTTCTATTCTCCTTGCTTCATATTATATGACCCTGAATGTGATCAAGAGCTAAACAATTAAGTTTAGCTTTCTATTCTGTTGCGCAATTCTAAGTAACAGCATCAAAAAAGTAGCGCTGAGATTGCATTGATCTATTCTTCATTCAGATTATTCCCAGGGACAAATTAATATATGGATGTTGGTCCTTTGAGGGTACATTAATTGCTTCAAGCTACCATTAAAAAACTTGCAAGTTTTTTTAATGCTTCTTAAATTCCTCCCTTCCACTATCACCCTCTCCTACCCTACAACACCATATCCCCAAATCATGAAATCATGTAACAACATTAAGTTTTGAAGTTTCCTCCTGGCTCCAGTAATTTTACGTGTATGTGTAAATACTTAAATGTACATAGGAGGGTTAATGCTAGGTTGCAAATGGGATTTATACACACTTTCCTGGACTGCGCATTTCTCCTTCAACCACGTCTTATGAAAAAATCCCTCCAAGTCTATAGCTCCAATTCATTACTTCTAATGGCTGCATAATGCTATTTGATGTGGATCAACCAGAATTAATTAGCCATTTCCAGATTCCCCGTGGTGTTCAGTTTTGGGGTTGAGGTTTTACAGTCTGGCCTCCCTCTTGTTACTACACTTTTCTCCATCGCCACCAAGAATGCCACAATAAACGCTCTTATGCATGCTCAGTTTCCAATAGGACAGGCAACTCAGGTGCCGGCTTTGAGATGATGCCCTGTGAGGAGGAGGCACCACCCTCCAGGGCACAGTGCACATTCTAAGTCAATGACTATTACGTGGTACTGTGTCCTCAGCTGGTAGAACACATGGATCTGGGAACCAAGGGGTGAAACCAGGAGTGGCATCCTACTAACTGGTGACTTTATTCTATGAGATAAGTTACTAATAGAGGGATTGCTGTCAGGTATCTTTGTTTTTAATTTTTAATTTATTATTTAATATTTTTATTTATTATTTTAGTATTATTTAGTATTTTTAATTTGGCTAAAATTCTAGTCTGTGGGATATATTATTAGTAGAGGGATTGCTGTCAGGTATATGTTTTTAATTTTAATTAAAATTAGACTTAATTTAATTAAAATTAAGGTTGCTTTACCAAAATCCAGTGCCTATAACAATTCACATTTCCCCCATTTATGAACGAGGATGCCTTGCCCCACATCCTCACCAGCAACAGGCATTACAGGTCTTTCCAATGCTGTCTGTGACATTACTTTGGTCACTTAAGGTCCACGTGTATAAATGAGTGTTCAGAGTTTGAGTAGCTTTTCATGTCTCTTTCAGCCACTTGGATTTGTTTGTCCTATAAACTACCTATTCATATTCTGTGCCCGTTTTTCTATAGCATTATTGCCCATTTGTAAGACTTTTTCTTATATATAACTTATCCTACATCAGTGCTAGATATATTTTTTTCCAAATCCATAAATTTTCTACTATCTCTATTAGGGTCCCTTTTTTCACACACAGATTTCTGTACACACTGTCAAATATGGTTTTCTCCCTCTTGTAGTTTCTAAGAGTTCTGTCTTGGTTAGAAATGCTTCCCCTAACCCTGGATTGCATAGGTACCTAATCTCTTGAGATTTTTTTCGTCAATTTTTTTTGCTTTGCTTTATATTTAAGATCTCAACTTTTGTATATGGCACAAATAAGTTCAAACTCTCTTTCAAATGAATATCTAGGTATTCCACTACAATTTACTGAAAATATCCATTTTTTTCCACTAAATTCAAATGCCAATTTCTGTCATACATTTCATTCTCCTATATACTGAGGCCTATTTCTGGAATCTCTTCTCAATTCCACTCATCTTTTCCTATTCTAAATAATACAATTTAATTAGATACTGCACTCCTAAGGCTTTTTATCACTCCTATAACCCCTCCTGAGCTGTAGCTAAAGGCATCCTGAACCAGTGGGATCCTAAAGGATGACAGCGGACTATCCTGACTCAGCCAGCTGAGCGCCAATCACAGCTGCCGTTCCTAATGTGGTATCTCTGCTAGAGCACATTCCAAGGCATGCATTGATGTGGTTAATGTTTCCTTTTCCACCCTCTGGGAAAGAAGTACCAGAAGATCCTCACATTCACACTGAGCGGAGAAGCATATACATTTAGAGTCTTGCCCCAGGGCAATGGTAAGTCTCCCACCCTCTGACATAATATTTTATGAAAGGATCTGAACTTTCTGGACATTTCTCAAAACAAAACATTAAACCACTCCATCAATAACATTATGTTAGTCAGGCCTCATGAGGAAGAAATGGCAAGTACCCTAAAGACCTTGGTATGATGCATGCATGCCCTCCAGAGGGTAGAAATAAACCCTATGAAGATTCAGGGGCCTGAAACATTAATAAAATAACATATATGGAACATGCTGAGACACCCCCTCCAAAGAAGGTCTGACATCTGGCATCTCTCATCTCTCAAACAAAAAGGGCAATGCCAGGTATACACCTTTGGATTCATGAGGAAGAATATTTTACACTTGAAAATACGGCTGCCATCCATTGACAGGTGACATGGGGGATGCCATCTGTCAGTCTAGATTTTGGACGTTGAAGACATATCTCTTCAACGGCTGCGCTACTAGACGTGGGCAATTTGGGAGAAGAAGACATGTCTGTACTCCAGTAGAACCAGTCAAAGGTGAATATTTGTTAAGTTATTTAAGCTCTCTAGTTAGCCTCCTCAATAGTGAATTTTAAATGTTTATTATTTTGCATAAGTTCGCTCACATCATCTTGGCTTTGAAAATCTGAGTTAATGCAGATGATGACAGAAACGATGGAGATGATGGTAACTGCCTGTACCATTAGCAGTAAAATCTTCCTTCTCTCATTACTTCCCTGCAGTAGGCAGAGCTCTAAGATAACCCTCGAGACCCCTCCCCCTGATATAGAAGCCCTGGATAACCCCTCCCTTGAGTGTAGGTAAGACCTGTGAGTGTGATGGCACAGTCATGCTCATGACAAAGTTACGTTACATAAGACTCCTCAGACACATCAGAGGAGACTTTCCTGCTGGCCTTGAAGATGCAAAGTGCCACGTTTGGCAGGAAACTGTAGTCAGCCTTTAGGAGCCAAAAACCTCCTATCACACAATCACAAGAAAATCAATTTTCTCAACAACCAGTGAGCTTGGAAGAACTCTGAGCCTCAGATGAGACTGCAGCACTGATTTCAGCCTGATGTGACCCTGAGCGGGCCAGCTAACTCATATCCGTCTTCCTGACCCACAAGATACTGTGACATAGCCAATGGGCATTGTTTTAAGTCACTAAGTTGATAGCGGTTTGTCAGGAAGCACAGACAACTAACATAATCCCTTCAGTCAAAGTATCCTCAACTTCTCCATCACTGAAACATCAAGCATGTTCTCTTGGGTCATTCAGCAATTTTTTTCCCCTCAGATGAAAGCTTGAGCAATATGTTTTTAATACATACTGCTGCTTCTAATACTATAAGAGCATAAATATTGAAATCAAACTTAAAAACCTAGAAAAGCAGATGCCAATATGGACTACAATGGGACTGAATATTTTCAGAGAAACAAGTTTTAAGTCTTTATGTCTGCCCCGACATATGACTTAAATTACTAAAATGTTTTTCAGTTAACTCAAGAAATTTAATACTGCTTTTTGTACTTTATAAGAGGTACATTGTATTTTCTTCTCCAAAATGCATTGATGAGTTGCCCTTGTAAAAATACCCTTATCTGGGGGGAGAAGCAGAAGGAATACTCTTACCTGTACGACAGGTACCAAAACAATATTGTGGTAGATTATAGGGGCAAGAAGACCATAACATTGAGTCACAGCTTGAAGGGCATAACTGGAATCATTTAGGTAGTTGCTAAGTTCCAATGCTACTAGCACTCTCTCACATTCAATTAGCCTAGCAATCTGTAAAGAAACAGGCATTGTTACGCAAATTGAACATCAGGTGCTTAACTAATGTGTCTCTAAGAAAAACAAAGGGTAGGAAATGTGAACCCCCATGGCCTAGCAACAATATTAATGTTGGTATGAAGAAAAATCTAAATTCAGGAACAACACTAACTCTTAAATAATGCTACAACAAGGATAACATAATTTTAGAATTAAACTTCAGAATTTTTTGTAAAATAATATACCACTAGAAACAGAAACTGGTAAGATAAAATCTTGGCTATATGTTAATGTTAGGAAAAAATAGAGTTGTTGCAAAAATATAGATTACAAGAAATAATAATTAAAATATAATGTCTTTGTAATATTGTTCCCACTTGTATGTCTGAGTCCCATTTCCCTTCTGGATTTGTGAGAAAATAATTTTCACTACAGCAAACTAATCGTCTGTTAGAATTCTCCTACTTAAATATAAATGATAGTAAGATGTAAAGACAGATACTTTAAAAGAATAAGAATCTTATCTTACTCCTCCTTTACCTTTTCTGAGGAAGATTTCATTATTTTTCTATGTATATACACACAAGATCACATACAAAGAAAACTGTTACAAGTGGCAACCAGAAATTTCCATACAGCAAATTATTACTCGAATGGTAGTCTAGCATTCTGGAAGTCATTGAATTACTTCAGGATTGCCTTGATTTTCAGACTAGATGCTGAAAGAAGGCACTGAATGCAACGGACTAGGAACGGGCTGGTGGCTGTGAGTGCTTGCGTTCTATGAGACTGTGGACTTGTCTTGGGCAAAGAGTCATGTATTTTCCACTTTCATATTCACAGAAACTAGTACAGCTCATATAACAATTTATTGGTTAACAAATAAATGGATGGGGAGGAAAAAGCAACTGCGAAAAAAATAACCAAAAAATGGCAAAAGTCTCCATATATCTAAAATGAGTAAAAAAGGAAAAAGATAGAAGAGTAACCTCAATCTAAAATGAAAAAAATGTAGGGTTGTTATTAAAAGCAAGAGCATTATAAGGTTGTAGATGTATACAGAACAATGTTTGTAAGCACCCTGAGGATCTATCAATAGGAGATAAGTTAAATTCCTGCCTCTGTACAGGAATGCAATATTGTAATTAAAAATAATTTGGTAATTGATATGCACCATCATGAAAATATGTCCAACATGCATTATTAAAAATGTTAAAAAGTCAAGATGCAGAACAGCAAATATATCATGATGTAATTTTTGTAAAAATAATAAAAATAGCCCTGGCTGGTGTGGCTCAGTGGATTGAGCACCAGCCTGCAAATCAAAGGGTCACCAGTTCAGTTACCAGTCAGGGCACAGGCCTGGGTTGCAGGCCAGGCCCCCAATAGGGGGGCGCACAAGAGGCAACCACACATTGATGTTTCACTCCCTCTCGTCCACTCTCTAAAATTAAATATTTTAAAAAATAAAAATGCAAAAATTAAATAAAAATAACCAACAGATTTGTCTATGCATATTTTTTAATTGGAGAAATCACATAAAACAAAAATGTATTATTCTTAAGGGCAACAGGATCACAATGGTTTCACTTTATATATTATACATTTTTTAATATTTGAAATTTATACTACTTTCGTACAAGAAAAAAATAAACTAAAAAAAAATACACTCAGGGCTGTGATTTCTACATGGAATATCAAATAAGTCAGCACAAACATACAATGGCCCTCAGTCCATTCACAGCCAGGATTTGCATTCCCCCCAAGAAAATTAATTTCAAACATCAAGAAACAAACAAAGGAAAATTGGCACATTTTTAGTCATTTTAATTCACTTACTAGTTGAGAAGGAAAAATCTCATTGCCTTTGATATTATCGCAGAAAAGATTTTCTTCTTTAATTTTAATGTCACTTGTTACAAAAATATTTCTAAGAAAAAGGTACAAGAGGATTGAAGAAGTCTCTGCCAAAATATCTAAATGTAATCTGCAAAGAGAAGTAAATCACATTACAGGTTTAAAAATAAAATGATTTAGCACGTGAACTTGCCTTTTGAGATTGACTTGTTCTTAGTATCTACACAGTAATCCCAAATTAGCAGTAGAAAATTGTGGAACAGCTACTCTCACACAGTGGTTAAGTTAAAAACAAAGACCATCCTTAACAAGTTCACAACTAAGAAAATTAAGCTGCTGACATATTATGCATAGATACATAAAAATAACTATTATAAAAGCTTTCTGGTTCTAATATATAAAGTTCTTTTCTATCAGTATAATGCAATCGCCATAGATATTCAGAAGTTAGAAAAATAGGCCCAATAAGTAATGAACTTTTCAAAAATGAGGGTCATTAATAGTAGAATCAGCCATGGAGAGAGAGAGAAGGCGGGAGAAACTTTGAAATCGTTTCTAATTATCTTTTCTAAGTTGCAGTCAATGGTGCCAACCAATGGCAAAACTGGGAACTGTACAATCTTCCTCCTTTGTTTCCAATATTCCCTATCTTACCCTTAGCCTTACTCGGTGACAAACCCTCCCTTCTAAGCTTCAGGTCTATCTACTCTCCATATACCCTATTCTTATAAAACAAGAGTCTAACATCAGTCATTCACACTTGAAGATTACCTGTTACATCACCATGTTAAACTCTAAAATTATCTTTGCCAGGAGAATTTTAGATCTCCCACTCTCTTTGTCCTCGTGCTGACCATCAGAACCTTGGCTTGTGTGGTAAGTCCAGGCTATTGCCTCCTCTGGCTCCATTTCCTTCCCTACCCAGCTCAGACTCTGGAAGCCATTTCAATAGTAACCTCTCTGGCACTTTAGATTCAATACCCCTTATTTTATGCAATAATTAATTTGTCTGACCTCACATAGGTGTCCCTGCCCATTGTTTCTATCCCTGCCACAACGCTCAATCAGCTATTTACTAAGTTATTCTCATTCATTCTTTTTTTCATTCAAACTATCATTTTCTGAATATCTGCTGTGTAAAAGACACTATTCTAGGACCTGGGATACAAGGATGAATCAAAAGTGGCCCTTAGATCAGACGCTTAGGATCTGAGCTCTACTACAATTCATGTTATGTGAGAGCAACTGAGTCATTAGTGCTTCTCAGCAACACTTCCATTAATCCCTGATGTCGTCTCACTCACATTCCCCACAACAAATATTCTCAACCTCTTGTTCTCCACTCCATGAGCTCTTCTATCCTCCTGGCTCTACCACAGTGTCTCCATCGCCTGCACCTTCTTGTACTCCCAACCTCGCCCTCTCTCCTGGCTTTCTTCCCTTCACCCTCCAAAGTCTTTCCTTAAGCATACCCTCCCCCTCAAGCTTCTTTCCACTTTCCTCTTCTCTCTACCACCAAACCTCACGTCCGTAGTCTGCTTATTAAGTTCTTCATCTCCAATTATTCCTTAGCCAATTGCAAAAGGTTTCTGTCCCTGCACAGCACAAAAATGACTCTCTTGAACTAACCAATAGCTACCTAAATTGCCAACTCTAAAAGCTTCTTCTTAGTTTACATCCTGCCCGATCTCTCTGTAGTGTTCTAAGAGACAGCTGCCCCACCTGACCTTGCACTGGCATGTAGTGCTGCTGGCCAGTCCCTCCACAGTGACACTATTGCTGCCCTTGGCAGTACACTTTCCCATACTTTAATCTCCTGGACTGCTCCTTTGCAATGGACTGCTGTGGGCCCATCTCTGCTTCTCTCTCTTAAATGTAAAGATACCCAGGGTTCAAATTCCAGCCTTCTATCTTTTCTGCTAAATAAGTCATTCCCTGGAAGATATCACTCATTGTCAAAATTTCAATGATGACCTCAATGGACAATTTCCACATCTGTCTCTCCAGCCTTGACCTCACTCCTAAGATGTCAGCACTAAATGTCTAACTACCTGCTGGATATCTCATCTACAAAGGTGTCCTGCTAGAAAACTACACTCAAAATATGTTCAATCAAAGTCATTATCTTCCTCCAAAAACATGTGCCACCTGTCATGTTCCCTTAGTAAAGGTAATAGGCTTCCCAGTCAGATAACCCTGGAAATCCCAGTCAATTTTCACTCCTCACTCTCTCTTAACCTCACAAGTTTCATTAGATATTCCCAGTGCTGTCTAGTCCTCTTCCAAAAGGCGTCTCAGATCTATCTTCCATAGCATCTAGCATCCTTGTACATAGTGAATGCTAAGTCCACATTTTTTAATTAAATGTAATTATACCTAAATGTGAATAAGCACTATCAATGCCTTTACTCAACCAGAATTTGCACTTCTAGCTCACTATCTCTGATTGAGGAGTGACAGTTTCATCTTCTTATTAAAGGCATTTCAGACATTAACAAGTAGGTGAAGGAGATTGTTGTTGTTTTTGATGTGGGTAGGACAGCCTGAAATCATACCAATGCTCATTTCTTATGCTGTTCCTAAACTTTGTTTTTTTGAGGGGAAAAATTGGCAGTAAAGCAACGGATGGCCTGTGGTTTTATATATGGTTTCTACTGGCCTGTCTGAAGTTACTGATGGTCTCATGCTGGAAGCCTCCTCAAGCCAAGGAAAACCTTTTTATCCTAATAGTCAACCTACTCATCAGACCTTAACCTTAACCTGAACCTGACCCTTCCTCTTACAAAAATTCCCAATGATATTTGTGTTTTATAGCATAACTGACATTACCTTGGCTAGTGTTTGGTATTATTTTTTATAACTTTCATTAACTTATATTCATAACGCATCCTTATACATGTAGCATTTTTTTCTGATTCTAGCAAAGAAGTTTCTAACAAGGAATCAAGACCTTGAAATGTACATGTTTATTAAAAACTGATGGGGAACAGTTTTATATGGACTATCTTAACGCGAAATTGAAAATAAATTAATTCTAGGTTTCACACCCAACATTTAATTTCAAAAAGGAAATTAATATTTCAAATGAATATTTCTTATTACCTTCTCTGTGTAATAGTCATTATATTGCTTAAACAAATAACAGATTGTTCATTGTGAGGTGGTGAAGAGACAAAATAATCCCAGACTGGTGAGAAAACTTTCTTAGCCAACTCATAGTCACCAATCTGATAGGCAACCTACAACAGAAAGAACATTATCTTATGCAATATTTTTATTCGTGAAACATACATTTTAAACAAGAATTCTGATAGGTCCTATCACACACTAACTTCACATAGTCATTCACATTTGCTGCTCTGTTGTACAGTGCTACAGGAAGGTAATCACAGCCACTGGCAAGGGAGGCAGACACATTTTGAAATCTCTTTTATTTCTAAATTGCATGGAAATTTGAAACTCTGTAAGGATGTTTCAAATTCTCATAAGCAAAACAAAGATCACATCTGAGCCAAATTAATTTCATTTCCATCTATCTCGGCAGTGCACTCCATTTATTACAGACACCGTTATAATGAACAATCTGTTCCAAGAGAAACAATCAGATTTCCCAAACCCAAAATATGAAATATACTTCATTCTTTTCTGATTCTGACTGACATTTCTGGAGCTTTTGTGCAACAAAGGGTTCACAGCTGAAAAGAGTGAAGAATAAAACGGAGATGCTTCCAAGAAGCCATGATATATTTTAAGTTCAACACATTCAACATTAGGCAAAATAACTGATTTTACTGGTAAAACCTAGAAGCTCAGTAGAATCAACAAATCTATTTCTTTTGGTAGGATACATTTCTTTAAAGATATTTCTAAAAATTATTCTATTTTTATATGGATACAAGTTACATGCTGCTTTGAATCCTTAATGGAAGCAGGTAAAACATAAAGAGTAAACACATTCATTGAATTAAGAATGTAGATGACATTTTGGTATATTATATTCCACTCAGGAGAATAATTTACAGAGCCAGAACTTTTTAAATCTGCCAGGTCAGCACTCAAAATCAACCAGCCAATAAACTTTTATGAAGTTTCGACTGTGTGCTAAGCACTGTAAAAATAGATTCTTAAAGCTTACAATGATCTCATATTCCATGAAACTGTAATCAAGTTACTGATATAAAACACATGAAATCACAGAAAAACTACAAAGGATAACATAATAATTGTGGAGGCTTAGAAAGGAAGAAATAAAGACTTCAAGGATGAGGCAGGGTTTGAGATTCAGAGGGGCATAGTTTAGACAGAATCTGAATAAGATTCAGTAGTAAACATCACCCCAGTGCAGCGAGGAGAGACTGGAAAGGCAGGTCAGTATTTGGAGAAAAGCAGGCAATATAGTTGGACAGGTAAAGTGGGACATGACTTAAGAAAGTCCTGAAGGTCTGGTAGACGTATGTAAAGATGTCAAGTACAAAACTAAGCATGTTACGTGCATTATTGTATTGACCCCTCATTACAGCTCTATTAAGTAAGTTCTTTTACCACCCTTGTTTTTCAGATGAGAACACTGGGACACTGAGAAGTTAAATAATCTGTACAGAGCCTGACACTCACCAAGAACAGTGGAGCCAAGACTTGGAGTGGAAACTGGGTCACTTTTCTGGACTGCATTGATCAAATAAAGAATTGGACCAAGTGGTCACTAAAACACCATCTAATTCTAAGATTTCCATGGGAAATAATAACAGACAATGTAGAATGGGGTTGATGAAACTGTAACTGAATGTTCTTTCCTTTTAAAGGAAATCTACAGTCTTTTGAAAAATAACATTATTTGTCCAATTAGTTAACATTGTGAAGCAAGAAACAATACCTTGATAAAATTACAGTTCATAAAATCATGACTTTTTGTGGGTTGACAGAGGATTGCCAAGGCATGTGTTCAAAGATGGTTAACTGGTAGTGACGTGCAAAATAGATTTTAGAGGGGACGAGGTTAAAATGAGAAAGAAGCACTAAAGACTAACACAATAATTAAGTATGGTAGAGACTTCAATACACAACCTTCACCTGGCTTCCAGAACCACGCTCCTGGTTTTCTTTTCATTGCAAAGGCCACATTCCTTCTCAGTTACCTTTGCAAGCTCTTTCTCTTTCCCCCAATCTCTTTTTATTGGCATGCTCCAGGGTTTGGTCCTTGGACCTCTCTTCTTCTACATGGAAGTAAGATGTAGATGTAGGTGTAGGAAGTAAGTAAATGATATCACTTCCTTCCTTGGTGATATCATTCAGCTCCATGGTTTTGTCACATGACTATCAAGTCCCTCTCCTGCCCAGAACTCTGTTTCTCCCAAACTCTAGATTCAAACATCTAACTACTCAACAACTCTCTCTGAATAGCCAATAAAGCTTATATGTAATAAATATCCAATAATATGTAATATCTTACCTCAACATGCCAAAAACTGAATTTTGGATCTTCCCCTGCGCCAGTCTATACCTTCCACAGTCTTCTCCAACTCAGTAGATGTCAACCCTATCCTTCTAGTTTGCCAGCTAAATATCTTAGAGTCATTTATTTTTCTCTTTATATTAGTTCCATCAGGAATTCTTGTTAACTCCTCCCTTAAAACATATCCAGAATCTGACCACTTCTTACCACGTCAAGTACTATCACTCTGGCCACACCACCTTCATCTCTCAGGATTGTAGCAGCAGAGAGGCCTCCCTGCTTCCTCCCTTTCCCCTTTATGGTCTGCCTCCAACACAGCAGTCAGGGTGAGCCTTCAAAACTATATCACATTCTATCATGCCACTACTCAAAACACTTCCTTTCACTCAGTAAAAGCCAAAGTTCTGACAATAGCCTAAAAGTCTTTTCACAATCTGCTCCCCCACCCGCCCACTCAGCTTCACTTCTCTGATCAATGCTTTATTCTCCATGGGTCCCTCAGCTCTAGACATACTAGCCTCCTTCATATATATAAAACATACCAGGTGCACTTCTGGAAATCTTAGGGCTTTTGCTCTGGCTCTTTCCACAGAATGCTCTTCCCCCAAGAGCCTTCCCCTCACCACTTTCAAGTCTCTGCTCAAATCTCATCCTCTAGACGGGACCTTCCCTGATCACTCTGTTTCATACTGCAATGAACCTTCCACCCCCCACTTTAGATTTCCAATTCCTCTTACCATACTCTTTATTTCCATACAACTTATCTTCCAACATACTAGATAATTTACTTATTTACTATGTTCATTGTTTATTAGCTATCTCCCACCATGGCATTTTGTTCACTTTTCTTAGAACAGTGGTTCTCAAAGTATGGTCCTGTGACCATCAGCATCAGCATCTCCTAGGAACTTGTTAGAACTGCAAAATTTTCAGGTCCTACCCCAGACTAGGGAGTCACTCTGGTGGCAGCACCCAGCAATCTGTTTAACTAGCACTCCAGATCCCTCTGATGTGCACTCAAGTTTTAAATCACTGGCCTGGAGCAATGCCCGTGCAGAGTAAACAGTTACTCATAATATGTTAAGTGTATTAAATGATGTGTTGAATGCATCTCTTCCTAACAATTTCCCTCTACCCACTGAAGAGGACACCTGCAGGTTATACTGTACTGCAAAATGGTTGACTGGCCCCAGGTGAATGCCTGACCTAATCTGAATGTTTTACAGCCCTCCCTTCAAAGCAAGGTGGACCCGCACCCTAAGCCTGGTTCCGATGTCAAGGCTCATGACCTGGACACACTTAAACAACTTGAGAGAAAATGTTTTACTCACACAAGAGACTTCTAGGGAGAGTTTGGCAGGCACAAACCAGTCTGGACTGGCTTGGACAAAGCAGAAGGAATGGGTTGGGCCTTGATGAATGGCTGGGGAGTAGGAATTAGGAAAGTTCCTGCCAGCTGGGAGGTTTCAATACACAAAGACAAGGTAAGCCCATAGACCTTCCTGTCCGGCTGCCAAAATGTGTGTCCAAGGGAAAAAAGAGGGGTGAGGTTTAAAGCCAAGTCAGTGGGCAAACATCAAAAGTGAGGTCAGACTTTATTACATCAGGCATGTCTAGCACAGTCTCTTTCCCAGGAATTTGGAATCAAGATTAAGAGCCAGCTACCTGGTCTCTGTCTATAGATGAAATTGAGGGATATATAAAAATTCAGGAGCTGCCATTTTTTCCTCCAAAGATAGAGAGGTAAAGAGACTCAGTCTTTGTAGAAGAAAAAGAAAGCAGGTATATAGAGAGAACCAAAGGTGTGAGACCTAGAGCTGCTTGCACTCATAGCCTTCCCAGGGTGCACGCCCCAAGCCAGGCTGGTTCACATACTTGTAAAGTCTTAACTGGAGCCGTAAGTCAAAATTATCTAAACAAGGGTTATTGTTGTGGTAACGAGATTGGTTTTAAAAAAAGTTCAAAAGAAGAAGAGATGACATCTAGCATAGAACCTGGCACAAAACAGACATTGAATAAATAATTCATTAATAAATGGATGAGTAGAGAGAATAGTAATATTTAGTTAGAGGATGAGATGAAAAAGAAGAGTTGAAACTTCTTAAAGAGCTTTAAAAATGGGGATGACTATCTTTTTCACCTGGTAGCTTTTTCTTTTATTATTTGAATGGTCATAGGCAAAAGGTAAACATCTATTAATCAAATAATTTCAATGAATTCATTTATGAAGTGGGAAAAAAAATGTATGAACTTTATTTCCCTTTCTCCTGCCACCATTGTGACTACTGACAAAGCACTCATGCCCTATCACCAAATTCTACTGCCAACGCTGATCATCAAGACCTGCTGAACAACTCCAAACCCAGGCAGGGAAAAGATGGGCGAGATGTAGGCTCAAGAAGAATGGGGCACATGTTAGATGTCGAACATGTGACTTCTGGGAACCGGGACTGAGCAATAGAAACACATGAGCTGGTTCAAGTGTCAGGCTTACCATCTGCAACCCAAGTGACCTTGGGTAAATTACTCAGCCTCCCTGAGACATCTTTTCTGGAATTAACTGGAACTGGCAGAGGAAGAATTAAATTAATCTCAGTCCCCTCAGCTATAAGATGAAAGTGACAGCACCCCTCACAGAGTTATTGTAATAAAGGAAATGATGAATTTTTAAATGCCTGTCACAAATAGTTTTTTAATAAATGATAGTCCCCATTTCTTTTTCTCAACCAGCCATTGTGCCCACTCACTATTTGATTAAATAGTTCAATAATCCAGCAGTAATATGGTATTTTGTCATATATCCATTTTACAGATAGGGAAATGGAGACCAAGCAATTTGCCTAAATTTAGCTCACAGGTTTCTAATTTTCTGCATTTTGTATCATATTATCTAGCCATTTCCAACTTAAAAGGAAGAAGAAAAAATTAGTATATAAAGGGGGGGACTGAAAAATATCCACAGAAAAGATATCATTCATAAAGTTTTCTCAAAAAATTTTTCAGATTGGCTAATACTACATTAAGAGTAAAACCCAGTAAAGATTCACCTGAATTTATTAATATCTAAAGAATAATGTTGAGCAAAATACAACCTAAAATCCCAAGCCAGTTAACAATAAATGTTTAGTGAAATATCTCTGTATCTTACTATAAGAATATTAATAATATTTTTTTAAAGAACAGAATTATCCTGAAACTAAAAACTATCCACTCTCATAAAGATAGATTGCAATTCCAAGAGAAAAGTATATTTACTTGCTAGAACCTAAAAGCTTAAGCTTTTATGAATTAAGGAGATTTGCTGTGTGAGAAAATTTTTGCTTTGGCCATTTAACACTATGACACAGAATGCTCATAAACTGTCATAAATGAACTGCAGTACTGTAAATATAGTATCAATAAAGACATACAGGTCATTACTTTATGACACTTCTCATTATCCCAGCAGTATAGCTGGGACTTAGTTTTATTAACTTTCAATGAAAGTTCTGCCAAATGAAACCCAAGAGTCAAACCACTCCCTGGAGAAAAATTAGGCCTTGATGAAATATTGTTCCTCATTCTGAAATAACTCTATCACTACAAATTAGGGAATATAGTAGATTCCAGAGAAATCAAAACATCAGAAAACCATGGGCCAATATGGCGTGCTAAGCCAAGGCTAGACAAATCCTAGCAATTCTCTTAATTTAATTTTCTTTGAAAAATATGATAATATAAAAGCCACTAAAATCTTAGCTTATAATGCTAATCACCATTAAGAGGAAAAATAGCACAATAGAAACATATTAAAATATAGAATAGCCATCAGCTCTACAGTCAATAATAGGCTTAAAATTTGATGCTTGAGACTTAGGTCAATGAGTCACTCTTCCTAGTGTCCTTATTCACTGGTGGCAATTTTAAAGTCAGGAAATCATTTCAGCAATAATGTCAATTGATGAGTATGTCCACCACTAAAAACAATAATAATATTTATTAAGTGCCCATTGTGTGACAAGTGCTATGGTTAAACATTTGACATGAATAATTCCTCTTAAAACTCATAATAGCTCTGAGAGGCAGCTACTATTATTATTCCAACTTCACAGATGAAGTTTTATTTGCCCAGTATCACATGGCTAGTGTAAGGAACTTGAATTTAAACTCAGGTCTGTCTGTCCTTATTAACCCAGAGGTTTTACTTCTATAAATTCATCCTAAGAAAGTAATCACGAATACGATCAAAGATTTATATAAAAAATGTGCATCACAGCTTTGCTTATAATAGCAAAGGACTGGAAAGCACCTAAATTTGTCCAACAATGAAGGATTACTAAAAAACTCATGATCTATCTCTAAGATAGATAATACCATGCAGTTGTTAAAAATTATGTTTTAAAAGAATAATTCAATGGAATGGAAAAGTGTCAGTTATATATTAAGTGAAATATCAGAATATAAAGTAATGTGTACACTATGATTAAAATTACATATATATAAATTTATATACATATGTGTATGTATGCGTGTATACACAGAAACACACACAAATGATAGGATATCTCTGGATCTCTCAGCATTGGCACTACTGACATCTTGGGCTGGACAATTCTTTGTTGAGAGGGCTGTCCTTTGCATTGCAGGGTGCTTATGAGCATCCCTGGCCGCTACACTCTAGATTGTGACAACCCAAATGTCCCCTGGGGGCCAAAAGTGCCCCAGGTTAAGAACTGCTTCCCTGGATGATAGGATAAGACAGAATATTCTTTTTTTTTTTCTTTGTGCATTTCAGTATTTTACGAAATTTCTAAAATTGTGTTACATTTATAATCCAGAAAAAAATGTTATTGTAAAAAGCAAACTCACTAATAAGAGAAGGAATGATCCCTATTTTATGAGACTAAACTGCAATAATGGAAAACATGTATTACAGGAGCTTTAGGATATCTCCTGTGACTTTTTTTTTTCATCAGAAATTACTTAGTAACTGCTCAATGGAAAAACAATTAAAGAGAAAAATCAGCAGAAATCTCTTCTACCTGTGTCAGGAACATCCGAGCAGTAACAGCAGAAAGAGGCGGATAAACCAGAATTGGTTTAGTTGTCTCCCCAATAGCATCACCGATAAGCTTCCCATTAGAAGAATAAGCAGCAATTGCAAAGACGTATTTTTCATTGGTTTCTAAACCTTTCACTTCAAAAATGCTTTTACCATCAGCTGGTATCTATTAACAAAAACATATTTCAAGTTATGTATGAAAGTTAAAGTAATGTGACTTTAGATATATAATTAAGTATATTTAAAAAAATTTTCATTTACTGTTGGATTTTACTCATACTCAATTTGAAATGAGAGAAATTTACTGAAAGAATGATTTCATATGGGAAAAAAAATTGTCGGTAAATGAGGTTTTTTTGGGGGGGGTAAGATTTCCTGGCATTTAGAGGGTTTTTTTTAATTTGACATACCGCCTCTCCTGAGTTTGGGAGATGATTATTGTTTAGTCTTACTTTTCCATAGCTCCCTTCTGCTTTGCAACCCAAAATGCAGTACCACGACACCTGCCAAGGAGAGAGACAAGCCCAGCATCCGTAGTCTGTTTACCAAGGCATTCAATTCCCTTTATCACGATGTGGCAAAGAAATATTTTTCTAAATAAAAATGTAACTACGCAAGTTTTAAAACAAGATATCTAAGTTTACAAAAGTACTTAGGTTTAATCTTTTTTAAAGAAGGCAACTATGGGTTAGTTATCCTGGGACTAACAAGACTAAAAATTATTCATTACTAATTATTTTTAACTACCACTAACTGAGAAGTTCTATGTGCTGAGATCTGTTAGGAAATTTACATATACTTTCTAATATTTACAACATTCCTATAAGATAGGATTACTATTGTCATTTTGCTTTACAGGAAATGGAGATGCAAAGATGTTTAATAACACCCACAGTCAGATAGTGGCAGAGTGTGACTCCCAAGATGACTTAATCTTGATGAGAAAAAAGATCCAATGCTGAAATGGTTTTCATATTTTACTTAATAATAGATGACAAAAAAAGTAAATGGAAAAGGAAGCACGATACTAAATAGTAGTATTTAAGTTAAAATATTAAAACACATATGAAAAAGCCTGAAAGAAAATGTGGTAGATTTGGGGTAATAAAAAGGTAAGAATATGGGTAGAATTTTTCTCTACTTTACATATTTTCTGAAACATGACATCCTTTTGATAATTCTTAAATATAGGCAGAAACCAAAAGTAAAACGTGTATTCTACTAAAACAACCAAACTTAAACTTGATTAAATGCTTAGACAATGGTCTTTTGCCAAGCTGTCAAAATAATGGCAATTCTTCACGGTAGTGAACTAATCTCACCGTAAGGAAAGAGATCCAGCTGACACCTAGGGGACAGCATTATTAGTAGCCATACTGTCCAGGGGTTAGAGATAGAGGAATTGTCGTCATTGTGGCAGTCCCTTTTCCCCATAAATGCCACTTCACAACATTCCCACTCCTGAATTACAAGGGAAGCTGGATGAAAAGGGGAATATAATTGTCTCTAAGAAGCAAAGGACTCTTATGGCTTAGCCTGCTATCTCTTCTTCTAGGTTAACAAAAAAATTCTAATCGTGTCTTGTCTGTACAAGTAGTTCTCAACTCTGACTATGCAGTAGAACCACTTTTAAAGATACGCTTTGTACTAATCAACCATTTAAAAAAAATTACATATACCCAAGTCTGCATAGCCTCAGTGAATAAGAATTTCTGGTGTAGGTGGCCAAAACTTTGTGCTTCCGAAAAAATTCCTCAAGTGATTAAGGAGCACTATAAAAAGGCAGGAGAACTCTAAGGACAGAGAGAACATTGAAGAAACTTGGAAGCTGGAGAACAGGAAAAAGAAATCAAATGAATCTCACAAAAAAATCAGAAACTAACTTTTTCTTCACCTCCCATGCAAAAAAAGAGTACCCTTTTCCATGGGAGAGGGGAGAAAGGGAGGAGACAGGAAGATTATGTTTATGACTTATACCATTAAACTCTATTTATCAACCAAAATGTAAAGACTAAAATTCACTCTAAAAGCATGTTTATAAGTAGTCTTTATATTTTGTTCCATAGATGAAAACATCTTAGTCTGTGTAATTATAAGAAGCAACATGCGATTAGAATCTACATAAGAATAATGACACCATAAACAGATCATCACTGACTTTAGAAATAAAAGTTTATAAATAACATCAGCACTTTCAACAAGTAAAACAGATTTTAATGAAACAAATACCTTAACAGTGATTTAGATAAAACAAAAGATGGCTGAATCCTCAAACCAGAAAATGTATTTAAGCCCACAGCACCATCTAGTGCTGATCAGTAGGTAACAGAAGGTAGTAATTTCCTGGAACATACAATTCTGCTAATGTATTACATACATAAACTTAATATAAAGTGCTAAGTGACAAGTCCAACAACTACAAGTAAAATATGGGACTCCTGCCCTTCTATTTCTAAGCATTATGAAAGGAAATAAAATACAGTAGTCACTTACTTGAAATACATTAAAAATAAGATATTGGTTAAATAAACCAAAACATTTGAAAAAAAAAAACAAAAAACCAAAACACTTAGTAAATCATCCAGACTTAGTTCTACCTAACTTTCCAGAATCTGTGACTTCCTATTCTTTAAAGAGATGGAAAAAACGGCAGTTGCAGAATAGCCACAGAGATGCAGAATGCAGCACGGGGAACACGGGCAATAAGGTCGAGGTAACAGGGTGTGGGCCAGGTGGGTTCTTGGGGCAGTGTGAGAACCATTCTGTAGAGCGCAGGAAACCAGCCGCTTTGCTGTACCTCTGCAACAAGTGTGGAATGGCATTCAATGTAAACTGTGTTTTAAAAAAATAACAAAGGGCATGTTGCTGATCACCCAAAAGAGGGAAAGGTAATCCTTAAAATATAAATTAGGTGGAACCAAATGCTTGTGAGGAGACTAATGTCCCTAAAATTGTCATTTATTTGCATGAAAAGAATCCCCACTTACTTGGAAGAACTTTGGAAAGTACCTCTAAATTCACCACCCCCACATTTCCTCATTTCCCTCATTGGCTCTGAGAGCATCTATCCTCCTCAAGTGTCAGACTAGAATGTCAGCAATACCTCTCTATTGTTTCTTCTTACTATATATTTGGATACAGCAGGGCTATATGGAACATAAAGGGAAATAGCATAAAAAGAAAAGATCGTGGAGAAACTAAATATAGTTAAGACATCAGAATACTAATCCCAGTGCTCAGTGCTTATAAATAAGACTAGTCAAGTCCTAACTAAGTGCAACAAAAGTATTGATCATTATAGTCATAAAAGTACTTATGTTGCTTTGCCTGAGCTAAAGGCCTGAGCATAACGGACAACGTACCTTAACATCTGAAATAAAGGGAGCAGGTTTCAACGTCACAGAACAATGAGTTCGGGACAGCAGGATGGGTGGAGGAGGAACTCTGCTCTTCTTCCTTTTTGAACTTTTCACATTTTTCTGATATGTATATAGGGTGTTCTGTTCTACTTCAGCCTTCTCAATTAAAGAATATGCTTCCTATAATAAAATGTGAAAACAGAAAAATGCATTTCAAGAGCTTTAATTTCATTTACACCTGTAGTGATGTTAAACACTATCTTGCTACACATAGTTCAAGGAGCCTCAGTGGCTACACATATTTCACGTACAGAATGATGTTGCAGAAGTAAAAAATATAGCTACTAAATAAGGCTAAATAAAAAAAAGTTATTAAATATTTAATAAGTTATATCATATGATATTTAAATGCGTCATTTATATCTGTTTATCACTATTATATATTAACATCAGACACTTCATTTTTGAATCAAACCCTCTGAATATCTACTATCATATTTAATTGTCTCTAAAATGTTCATAACACAATCATCTACATTTATGCTAATGAACCATATACCTATTCTTAATGCAACTTGTAATGTTACTCTCAAGCAGTGACACTATTGGTACATGTGGTTTAGAAAATAGATATTATTGAGAGTTTCTTCCTATCAGCAAGAAGAAATAAAACAAGTAAAAACACTTCTGTAAGCCTGAAGGAAAGACAATCAGTGTTTTATAGGGTTACACATAGAGTGATAACACATAAAACAAAACCAAAAAAAGGAAACATGAGAATCAGAAGATTTAAATAATATTTCAAAGTAAGACTAAGTATGTCAGCAATAATAATACACGTAAATAGGTTAAACTCATCTTTTAAATTAAATAAAAAGGCAAAGACACTATAATTGCACTCCAAAACAAAAACCCTTGTAAACGTTAAAATTCAAAGGATGATAGAAAGGGAACAAACAGCCTTTCCAACAGATGGTGCTGGAACAATTAGACATCTACATGCAAGAGAATAAAGTTGGACCCCTACATCACACCTAATACAAATATTAACTCAAAATAAAGTATAGCTCTAAGTGTGAGAGTTAAAATAATAAAATTCTTAGAAGAAAACATAAGAGTAAATCTTCATGACCTGGGGTTAGGCAATGGTTTTTTTAGATATGCCACAAAAAACATTTCAAAAAAAGAAAAAGTTGACAAACTGAACTTCATCAAAATTAAAAACTTCAAATGATACCACCAAGAAAGTGAAGTCAATTGATAGAATGAGAAAATATTTACAAATATTATATCTGACAAGAGACTTGCATTTAGAATATACAAGGAATTGTTACACATCAATAGTAAAAAGACAAGCAATCTCACTAAAAAATGGACAAAGGGTCTGAACCGGGATTTCTCCAAAGACGATACACAAATGGCCAATGAACACATGAAAAGATTTACATCACTGGTCATCAAGGAAGAAAATACAAAATCAGCAAACTGACTCAAGAAGCAGAAACTTGAACATAGGAGTGATGAGGGAAGAAATTAGAAAACATATACCAAAAAATACTTTCCACAAAAAATGTCAGGCACAACTGATTTCATTTAAAAATATTTCAAATCTCAAGAAACTAATAATTCCTATGCTATTTTTAAAATTTCTAAGTCAGAGATAGATAGCCTCTCAAATAATTTTATAAATTTATTATAACTTTGATAACAAAATCTGAAATATGGCTTCACTTAAAAACATAGAGCAATCTTCTTACAATACCATGAAGATACAGAAAATATGAACAGACCAATAACAAAGAGATGTTCAGTACTCAAAAACCTCCCAACAAAGAAGCCCAACAAGACCAACCAGATGCTTTCACTGGTGCATTCTACCAAAAACTTAAAGAATAACTATTGCCAATCCTTCTCAAACTCCTAAAAACTTGAAGAGACGAGGACACTTCCAAACTGATTTTAGGAGGTCAGCATTACCTTGATAGCAAAGCCAGAAAAGAACATTACAGGAAAAGTACAGACCAAAATTCCTGATGAACATAGATGCAAAAATTCTTAACAAAAGATTAGTAGACCAAATTTAACAATATACTAAAAGGATCATATACAATGATCTAGCAGGATTTATTCCTGGATTCAAGGATGGTTCAACATAAATGTGATGTAAATCAATAAATGCAATATACCACATTAACAAGATAAAAAGTAAAAATAATATGGTCATTTCAGTAGAGCCCAACAAGAATTTGACAAAATTAAGCATCCTTTTATGATAAAAACCTCTCAACAAATAGCATACAGAAGAACATACTTCAACATGATAAAAGCCATATCTGACAAACCCACAGCTAACATCAGACTCAATGAGGAAAGGGTGAAAGTGTTCCCTCTAAGACCCAGAACAAGACAAGAGTGCCCACTCTTATTACTCCCATTCAACACAGTACTGGCCAAAGCAATCAGAAAATCAAATGAAATAAAAGGCACTCAAATCAGAAAGGAAGAAGTCAAATTGGGGGATGGGGAGGTATTGGGTAAAGGATACAAACTTTCAGTTACAGGATGAGTAAGTTCTGAAGATCTAATGTACAGCATGGTGACTTTAGTTAACAATACTGTACTGAATACTTGAAGTTTCTAAGAAAGATCTTAAGCATTCTCACCAAAAAAAAAAGAAAGAAAAAAGAAAAAAAGTAACCATGTGAGGTGATAAATGTGTTAATTAATTTGATTGTGGTAATCATTTCACAATGTATACATATATCAAATACTGATGATGTGCATTCTAAATATATTACAATTTTGTCAATCATACCTCAGTAAAGATGGAGGTGAGGGCCAAAGCTCAATAAACTCAGAAAATTCTTTCTTTAAACATGAGAAAAATACTAATTTCAGCTAACAGACAAAACCATGGCAACAGTGAAGCACTAAAAAAATTATCAATAACATCCAGAAGGAGACAGAATGCCACTATTCCTTTTCATTCTGAAAGTTCTAGCAAATTTAATACAAAAAAAGAAAATCCTAAAAATGAGAAGACAAGTGTCCACCAAATTTTAAGTGCACTTCACTCAGATACAAAAACCTGTGCTGTTTCCCCTGCAGAAGACATGCTAAGTTTAAAGCTTCCACTTGGAAATCTGGACTCAAGCTCAAAAGAAATGAGGAGACTGAAGACAGGATCTGCAAGTCATATGCATCAGAGTGATATTTAGAGCTGAGTGAGTAAATCAGTTCCCTGTGGGAGTATAGGTTATAAAACTGTAGTATCATACATTTTTCCTAAAATAATGAAGCTGGGCCTAAATTGAGATCAGAATTAACTTCTCATTTTTATTTTTTATTGGAAATGGTTGTCATGAAGGTCTAAAATCATTGGTAATGATTAAAATTTACCTGTCAAAATAAATAGTTTTTTAATTCTCCTTGTTCTGTGCCAGAAGACCTTGAAAATTTTTCTGTACTTATAGTGCAGGAATCTTCACCATCTACATAAAGACAATTGTTTCTTCATGCGAGAAGGAATACATTATATGATTACTGTGTTTCTAGAGCCTACATGCCAGAGAACTTACATGTTTAGACCCAAAAGCTAATTCATATAGACATAGTAAGCAGTGTCATTATTAAATCACTGAATGATTGGATCAGTTGATCAATCTAGGAGAGAGGATATAATCTGTTATTCTCCATTATCTCTACTTTTTCACTCATTCAATCAGACTGGAAAAAATGGAGAAACTGGATGGGAAAAGGTAAGGGCCAGGTGTTGAAGGGACTGTGTTCACTTACATGTGGACTCTAATGAACAAAATAAGCTAACAAAATAGAAATAGACTCATAGATACAGAGAACAGACTGAAAGCTGTTAGATGGGAAGGGGTTCTGGGGGCTCGGTGCAAATCGTGAAGGGATTAAGCAAAAAAAACCCCAAAAAAACCCACATCAAACTTCACAGACACAGACAACAATACAGTGATTACCAGAGGGAAAGGGGGGAGGTGGAAGAGGGTAAAAGAAAGGATAAAAAGAGACTTGACTTTTGGTGGTGAACACACACAATACAACGTACAGATGATATATTATAGAATAGGAACCCATATAATTTTTTTAAAAATTTTATTTATTTTTAGAGAGGGAAGGGAGGAAAACACCAATGTGATGGAGGAACATTGATTGGTTGCCTCTCGTACCCACCACGACTGGGACAGAACCTACAACCCAGGCATGTGCCCTGACTGGGAGTGGAATGGAACAATGCCCAATCAACTGAGCCACACCAGTCGGAGCAGAAACCCTTACAGTTTTATTAATCAATGTCACCCCATTAAATTCAATAAAAATGTTAAAATAAATTTTTAAAAGGACTATGAGAGAGTCAAGGTATCAGCAAGACTGGTTCAGCTCAGAGGACACAATCAGAAAGGGCGGGACAGAGGCTGACTCTCCCTCCCACCCTCTACCAGAGACAACAGGCCAGCGTTGGCTTCTTGGGAAGACACGTGCACCCACAGAGCAGGGCTCCCCTGAAGGACAAAGACAGGCCGGAGCTTGATGAGGAAGAGGCCAGAGCTGAACAAGGTAAGTGTACTCCCCAGATAACAGTGGAGAAATTTTGAGGGAAGAAACTCCTGGTTGAACAGAAGGGAAATAAAATCTATTATATTTTGAAGAGTAAATGTTAATGTGCCTTAATTTGCATCATAGGCTGTGGAGACTAAGATATTTCAGGTTGCATAAGAACAAGTAAAATCAGCCTAGGGAAAATTATGCAACATAAGGGAAGGGGACCAACGTCTTGAAAGTTCGTAGACATTTCCTTCCTCTGGAATGTGTTTGGAGCCTTAAAATACACCAGCAGCACCAGCTCATTGGCCCTGATACTAACACAGACTGCCTTTGACATCACCTCCATTGACTAGCCAACTGTTCTAGGCTCTCTACACTTATTCCCAAAATTGGTCTCAGTAGTTCATGCTTAGCTGAACCAAATAGATACTAGCATCTTCTGACTTGACACTAGCAACTTCTCTCTGTATATCCATAAACCCAACCAAGATTTTCATAAAACTTCCTGCCATGGTCTCATCACATAGATATTTCTTAAACGTGGCTCTTGATCAGTATCATCTATGAAGTTTATTTAAAAATTAAGTTAGTCTGTCCCTACTCCAACC